TATCTCTTTTAGAAAATAAACAGTAATACAATTTTCCTAGTATATTTAATTGATTATTTGATTTGATAATACTGTGTCGTCAGAATGTCAGAAGAAAAGCTTTAAATATTGAAGCCTGCATTTTGACATTTAAGTCTTTATTCTTTATGAATTTGAACTTTCTTGCTGATGACTTTAATTCACTGATGTATCTTAATGGAAAATTGATTTTTTTTTCTCCCTAAAGATCACATTTACATTAAAAAAAAAAAAAAGACATTTTAAGGAAAGATTTGCTAACAAAATGAAAATGATGGCTTGTATATATGCCCTATGTTTCACAATTTGAAATCATTTTCATTAAGGAAAGGCACATGATAATGCTATGACTTTCTCACATTATGCTATATTGCAAGGAAGTAGGAAATTGTTACTAGACCATATCTGTTTGCTTTACAGAAGACCAGCATCATCAGGAGCATCCTCTGTCCTTGATTTTCAAAACTAATAGGGCTGAAAGACTTATCTTCTATTTGTGTTCCAAAAACAAATACAAACAATAAAACAATAAAGTAAAACAAAACAAAACAAAAACTCTCCACCAATGTAACACAAACCCAAACAACAACAAACCAACCAAATTAACCCTCAACATTTTTATTTTTTTTTCTCCATGGGACTATAACACACAGTATATATATTTCAAAACCTAGAGCAAGACTAGGAATATAGTGTTCTCTTGAAAGCATGTCACTACAAAGTCAATACCACTATAAATCAAAGCCACTAAAAGGCTCCTTAACTTAAGAAGAACAACGACAAATTGTTTCTGTCTAATTTGAATAGCACAGATCAGGTTTTGTTTTTCGTGATAAATTCTGGTCGACAAGATTGGAATAAGGTTATGGTGGCCACAGCAGCATCAGGAAGCTGCTGCAAAGCCACTCTTTTTATCTGGAGTTCTGTGCAAACAGGTTTGGCTCCACTCTTCTTTCTCTGCTTTCCTCTGCTTTTGTTTTAATCTACATCAAATAGCTATGTACCATCAACTGGATATTCTAGGAGCTGAGAAATGTCATGCTCAGCCCTCCTTATTCTCTCACAATCCCTTAATAGTGAGGCTTGGAAGAGCTAGTTTTCTTATAAGCTTGAACCACAGGGCCTCACTGGACTGACCCTCTTCTGTTTCTTCTTCCTTTCTGATACAGAAGATGTTCTTATAATAAAGGAATTATATCAAAATGTTTAGAGATGTATGTAAACAGATTATGAAGAGAGAGAACACTCAAGAGCTGCACGACCTTCCAAAGAATGTGAACAATGTGAAGCTGGGATAGCAGAAGTATTGTTGAGGTTGGGGAAAACAGAAAAACAGCCAAACTGGTTGTCTTGGCAAAGACGTGCTTTTCAGAAATGTAACAGCATGGATTTGGTCCTAGTGTCATGATCAGTCAAGTACCCTTAACAGCAGCATGGGATTATACCTGAAGAATTTGCAGAACCCACAGTTTATATACATGTATATGCACATGCACATGCACATGCACAGACAAATATGTGTGTATGAATTGATGTATATCTATGTGCAAGTACACACACAAACGCACAGAGATGTTTTTATATTTATTTAGACTGTGTTGTTGAGAAGACACTAATCTGTATTTGTCAGCACACTATGTGTTCCACAAGGCAACTTCTACCACAGTGTTTAAAAGAAATAGACCAATTGATGATGAGCAACAGACTGCTTGCATGATTGTCTGTTTATATGGTGGGAAGAAATTCTCATTCATAATTAGTCATATGTGCCAAATACCACCTCAGCTTTCCTTTTTTTTTTTTTTTTTTTTTTGGTCAGTCCAGTTCTTTCTTGGTTTGATTTTATCTAGGTATTCATAGTTATTAAAGAAAAAATAAATAAATAAATAAATAAATAAATAAATAAATAAATAAACTAGTCATGGGAAAATCCGAAGGAAAATGTGTTTGTGCTTTGGTGAAATGAGACTATCATGACAACTTCCTATAATAAATACAGTTGTTGGAAAGGCAATAGTGAGATGATTATTTCTAATTCTTGAAAAAATATTTTATCAATAATACTTGGAGAAACTATTTTATAGTGTGCTTTTTGGTAAACAGTGCTTTTGAAAACTAAACGATTTATAAGTTTTTTAATTTTATGAAAATTAAATGTTTTTCTCCTGACTAGTGTTGGAAAATGGAAAATAATCCATTAGTCCATCCACCTCTACCACCTCCAAGTCTGGGCCACCATAACTCTCTTGGAATTTAATAACAGAAATTGTTGAAAGGCATTTTAACTTCCAGCTTTCAAAATAATATCTGAAATAGACACTAAAGTTTTGATCACTAAGTAAATGTGATTTTAAAAAGAAATGGTTTACCTTTGAAGTGAAATTCAGCTCTGGCTATTTTTTCTGTTAAATTAGTTTTGCATTACATTCATTGTCATTGTGTAGCATGTCACTATTTACAGTATGCTTGCACCTTGCTACCCTCCTGTTATACTTACTTGTAATGGCAGTCAATATTAAAACACCACTGTTCTTCTTCCCCCCCCAAAAAATTAAAAACTACTAACAATTATAAGGAAATCAGCCCTCTTTCCCTGACTTCCAAAACTCTGTGTGTGTGTGTGTCTAAATGCATTCATATGTTCCTCCATGAATACATAAATGTCAAATGTTTTGACCAGTCCTGCCTTAAGACACAGGTATAATAGCTGTATTATTATACACATATGTATGTAAGAATAGATACACGTATATATTTATGAGTAAAAGGTTCTTAAAAATGAGATTGTTGCAAGGAAGTGCTGATTAACATGGGAGTGGTGAACCACAGAAAAATAACATTTTGTTCTCGGTGCTGAGGTTGATTGATTCTGCTGTGCTTCTGCTGAGCCCTGGAAGAAGGTCAGATAATTTTCCTATGATGAATCTTCCTGAAGTGTTGGGGAACAGATCAAGATGCAGTAGGACAGCTAAAGGAGATGTGTGTGGAACTGGTGTTAGCTTGTGCTGTGCATACATGTACATATTTAAAAACACAATTGCCGCAGCAGCTAAGGGAATGGAAATGTATTGATTTCAGGCTCTTCCAAAGCAGATAGATGGAAACATTTACTAGACTAAAACTTTAAGCACAGTTTTGTTATTGTTGTTGTGTTTTTTGTTTGTTTTTCTTTTCTGAAGGTTTCATAGCAGAGGCCTCTGAGGGACATGGCATTTTCTTTATCTATAAACGTACTGACAGAGTTCCTGACCTCAAACCTTGAGACAGGATATAGAATTACAGAATCATAAAGGTTGGAAAAGACCTCCAAGATCATCTGGTCCAACCATCCCCCTACTATCAATATCACCCACTAAACCATGTGCACCCTAAGCACCATGTGCAACCTTTTCTTAAACACCCCCATGGACGGCAACTCTAACACCACCCTGGGCAACACTTTTCAATGCCTGACTACTCCTTCTGGGAAGAAATGTCTCCTAATTTCCAAACTAAACCTCCCCTGGCTCAAATTGAGGCCATTCCCTCTAGTCCTATTGCTGGTTATCTGCAAGAAGAGGCAGATCTCCAGCTCACCGTAACTCCCTTTCAGATAGGGTCTCCCCTGAGCCTCCTCTTCTCCAGACTAAATAACCCTAGTTCCCTCAGCCACAGGGAATTCCACTCTGCTGGATCATATTCGGGTGAGCATTGACCAACACCCCCAGATCCTTTTCCTCTGCACAGCTTTCCAGACACTCCCCCCCCCCCCCCCCCAGGTCTGTAGCACTGCATGGGGTTGTTGTGGCCAAAGTGCAGGACCTGGCACTTAGCCATATTGAACCTCATCCCATTGGCCTCTGCCCATTGACCCATTCTGTTCAGGTCCCTCTGCAGGGCCTTCCTACCCTCTGGAAGATCGACACTTCACCCAACTTGGTGTCATCTGAACACTTACTGAGGGTGCAGTCAATTCTCTCACCCAAATCATCAATAAAGATATTAAAGAGAATTGTCTCCAGCAACTACCCCTGGGAAAACGCCACTCATGACCAGTGGCCAGCTGGATTTAACTTCATAAACTACCGTTTCCTTTGGTAGCTGGAGAATTTTGACTATTGAAGTTGCCAACCATAAAGATTTTTTTTCAGAAAGACTTTTTTTTTTTTTTTTTTTTTTTCCAGAACAGGAAAGAGTAAGAACTTTTTTCAAACAGTTCTGAACATACATGTACAGCTAAATAGCTCTAAATAGCTCTAAATAAACAAAACAACTTTCTAGCTACTCCTGCTAGAAATCACCTAGTCAAGGTGGTTTCCTTATCTATCTTACTGTGCCATTGCTTCTAAAACAGCCTTGAAGACATTTTGAAGTACACTCAAGTATTTGTCTGAGCGTATGAATGGTTTTGGCAATCCCAAGAACTGGTAGATTAAGGGTTTGTTCAACAGCCTGAAGTAGTATTATGTACACTTTTTGGAAATGCCTATAAAGTAATATTAAAGTAAAAGCATACTGTATTTCTATAGACTTTTCAACCTTACAAATGATGTTAGCACCAAATGTAAAATAAAGCCCTTACCTTGTAAAGCTAAGAATTTGGGGAACATTCTCAGATGGAAATAGTAAATTGTTCCGGATATTGTTTGGGTTGTTACCAATTTTTCCTCGCTGAAGACCTGTCCCTACCACCTTCTGTAGGGCACGTAGCTGAGATGCTCCTGCCCTGGTTATGAGTGTCTGAATTAAAGTCTCACCATCATTACTTTTAAAAGCTGGGATTTTCCCTTGCTTATTTCCTATCCTGGCCTGTGCAGGAGGTTCTCATGCTGGCAGCTTCTTGTAGGTGTAGGTGGCGATGTGATTCCACAGAATATGGGACCCAGGCAGCAGCATGGTACAAATCTGGTACAGATCTGGCTCAGATGCAGCCTGTGCTTAACTGTGATGGCCAGCAAGTAACCAGCTCCTTTAGCAACTAACATAAACTGATGCAAAATAACCAGTTTTAAAATATTTTGTTTTATTAAATGTTTAAAATAACATAAACATCATAGTAACAATTTTATGGCTGAGGTTCTCACAATTTTTGAATTTAACATTTTATCTGATTTGAGAGCTCAAAAGATTACACCTTTACATTAGAAACTGTAAGTAAGATTCATAACAGTAAGTTGTCTCATAGCTAACAAGAGAATAGAAATATTAGATAGAACCATATAAACTTTGGACAGTGGAAGAATATTTTACTATAAACTGGGGTTTGCCAAGATTATTTAAGAACAAGAAACCTTTTATAGGCAGTTTCATGTTAATCTGAACAAAACTCAATTCAGTTGATTTTTTAGCAACAGAGAAGAGCCAGATAGCACTTAATTATTCCCCAAATACACTTCTTTCTATTTTTAAGTTGACTCAAGTAAGTCTATATCACCTTCATACCAATAGTTAGCACCATATAATGGGATATTCACCATTTTAACTTATGGGGAATGTACGGTATATTACTTATTCTGAACTAGAATAAAGGGTCCAATTGTAACAAATATTCACCCTTGCTTTCTGCAGTAGAACATCAATGCTGGAAGAGCAACAGCATGCTTTCAACCATGAAGCTGTAGCTTATTTACAAACAAAAAGATTGCCCCCCCTCCCTCTTTTCCCAGTTGCTTATTCATGATAATGATTTGATTATTTAATAGTACTACAGGTTTTGTTTCCTTTACATTGGAAACTAGGATAGGTTTTATCACTTCATCTTAAACTGAATTAGAAAAGGGCATGAAATGAGCACAGCCGGGCATTTCAATATGAGCTCCACTATTTTACGCCCTCTGTATGTTGAATGAGAAGACTGGTGCAGGAAGATGTAAATACATGTACACCCACAGACAACTATGTTTTCTTGTAAAAAAATGTAAAATAAGGAATCTCTTGAGGAGGTGGGTAATGTGCCAACAACCAGTATAATACTGGCATGTCTGTTACTCAAGAATTCTTTTTACCAAGAAAGAATTTTTCTTAACAAAGTTACTGAAGTGTCGGGAGGGGGTGAGAAATTTTATTTTTTATAACAGACATGCTGGAAATAAGCAGCCTCGGTTGTCAGTCAAATAGCTGTTTAAACTCCGATTAATTTTAGGGATTTTTTTTGTTGTTATAACGATTTAATAAAAAAAAAAAAAAAGCAACACTTCTTAATTGCAAGCTTATGCTCATTGCTCTTTGACAATGAAATGCTATTCAGTGTTTCATTGCTTTCACACAGCACTTCATAGCTATAGCCTACAGACTAGCATGTGTGTGCATGGTATTAACAAAACATTAATACACTGGATTCAGCAGTAGTCCTTGTTATTTTTGTAGCAGCACTGCAGGCTTCCAACACTGTGAGCACGTAACTACAATGCAAGTTCATAGGGTACAAAAACGATAGACGATAATCTCATTATACTGTCTTGTGGCAGATATTTTCTTTTATGGCTTTGCAGAATGACTGTCAATACTGTTCTTTATGCTGCCTGTTGCTTGTTGGGGGAAGGACAGGGGAGCCTTTTAATTCATCCATCTTAATAGAAGAAACCAAACTGATGACAAAATGCTGATGGAGCTCTTCCCCTGCCCCTTGGGAGGCAACCGTGGGCTATCTATAATATCTCTAGCCTTCAACCATGAATAGTATTCACTCCTGAATTTTTCGTGTTAATTTGTCAGTACCTCTGATCTAACTTAATAAATCTATTTTGCTTTTCTAAAGCAAAAAGGTTGTGAGTATACATGAGAGAGATGGAATATGAAAAAAAAAAAAGTGTCTGCAACTCCTTTTAGATATCTTCCCCAAGATTTGGATTTCTTCAGAGCACATACAAATACACTGAGAAACACAAATTAAAAATGTCAAAGGTAAGTTACAGCTTGAGGTGAGAACCAGTTGTTATGCCAGGTCCAACTTTCCATTATTACTGTCAGAACTGGCAGCCAAATGCCATCACCATGTGTCAGTTTCTGCATTGTCTTTTTTTCCTTTTTTTTTTTTTTGTGTGTCTGCTTTGCTTCAATCACCTGAAAATATATCAAGCCACAAGAGAAAAGATTCAAACTTCACTGCATGTTATGTCTGTGTTGAAACAAGCTGAATGCTTAATCTCCCCCATAGGCAAGGCTAGAGCTCTGCAGCCAGCTGCTGGCAATGGTGTGTGGCTACAAAAGATCTCCAGAACAGCATACACCATCTGCAGTATCTATGTTTCTGCAACATTCCAAGCAGTGCCTGCTGTTTTGCAGGGATGAGTAGTAGCTTTGCTGTGGCTGTTACCTTCAGCAAAATGCTGAACTGCTTTAGAACGTGATACCACTACTGTCTAAGTGAATCCCGAAGTGTCTTTCTGCACATACAGAAGACAGGTCCGGATATGTTCAGAATAAGATACTTCAGACTTGCTGGGACAATACAGCCTGTGCAAATAACTGTGAATGCCTGCAAGCATATTTGAGGGATGCATGGAGTGACTAGCATTGGTGAAGGGAAGGCAGAAAACTTCACTCATAGCCCAACAATAGCAGGTCTGCTCTACATCAGTCAAGTGTTGTGGGTAGGTGTAGCAGGCCTGCAGTATTTGACTTTTCTGTGACACTGAGGGGTTTTGTCTTATCATGTGGACAGCTTAAGACATATGATCCCTTTAGCTGGTGTTTCTCTTTGCACATAAGTCAGGCACTTAAAAGACTTTTTGGATATGAGATAGTTTTGTTTTTTTTTTTATATATTTTTTTTAATGAAGCTTTTTCAAAATAGTCTGCAGCTTTCTTTTGTTTTTAAGCCTTTCACATAAGAAGTCTGGAAGCCGGCAGATGACCTGATTATTTACTTGAGGGAATGCAGTCTTCTTAGAGGCATCCCTATGATGACCTGCTTTGTGCTGCTAAGGTAGCCACAGTCTCTGCATAGCCCAGTTAGTCAAGGATAATGCCGCTGACCTTCACCATATGCACTGCTAAAGTCACTGTAAAAGAAGTATCTGAGCACCAGCACTGAAACCTGTACCTCCTAGTTTCTCAGGCAGTGACACCTCGCATTAGTGCAATGCACAGCATGCACTGCTCACTTTCTGGCATTGGAAAGCATATAGCTAACAACCAGTACAGTTTAATTTTGAAAGTATGTTTTCAAGTCAAGAGCTTACAAAAATTGCATCTTTATAAAATGGGTGCTTGACTTAATTGAACACAGATCGGAAGTGATGTGTGACATAGGGGCCTTTGCTAGGGATCCTGCCATTTTGGACACTGTGCTTCTGGTCAAGGTCTGCTACAGGCATCATTTAGTAATTGTTTAAAACTAGACCTCTGGGGCATACAAGGGAAGATTAATTCCTTGAACCTTTAGAAAGACTTCTGAATTAGCTTGGATGCACAAGTAAATATATACACTGTCATCACAACTTGTTCTTGCCTTCACTGCCAAAACCAAGTACAACTTTTAAAGAATGCCAGCTTTGTAGATGCTATTCTCAGTTCTCAAGACAGCCACTGTCTTTTTTTTTTTTTTTTTTGTGATAAAGCGTTCAGACAGCTAGTATGACACAAGACTAGACAAACTGGATGTTGCAATTGTTTCAAAAACTAGCTGTTTTAAAGTCTCATAATCTTAAAGTGCTTATTCAGTGTAATCTGAATAAAATATATTCCAGTATTACATTTTACTTTGAAAATCTGATAGCATGAAAAAAATTGTTGCACTAAGTGTAATTGCACCAGCTACTTTGAAGAAACTTCTTTCTCTTTCTCCCTCCTCTTCCAGAGGAATCCATATTTTACTAGGTAAGACAAATATCTCCAATAGCCTTGAGCTTTAGGAAGATCCCTGGATTCCTTTCTAAAATGTAAAGTAGGACAAAACATTACCTTCATATTGCATAACTGTTTTTATTCAAAAGTCAATAAAACCTCTCTTAACTTCAAAAAAAAAAACAAAAAAACCCCACAAGTTTTAGACTCTATTTCCTCATGACGAGTGGTAGCAGAATTGACCTGATAGGATTCCCTCAATACATACCTGTATACTTTCTTTTGCCCGTGCAAGTGCTCAACTGCAAAGTTATTTTGCTGTAATGAAATCTTGAAGGACAGTATCAGGCTGTTTTTGAACTACAAGCAGATAAATGGAAGGGGGAAAAGGACTCACTCAAAAATAGTAACAAGTTTATGATTATTTTTTTTCTTCAATCTTTTAGGAAGTCTTCTTTTCATCCTTTGAGTAAATAGAGCATTTTACAAGACAAAGAAATGTTCCAAGCGAAAGTGATAAATGCAAGATCAGGGCTGTTTGGTAGAAGATGATCTGTAATCTTAACCAAAGAGAGAAAAAAAATGCCTTTCCATAAGAAAACAGTTTGTGAGTGAGAACAGTTAACACAGGTATATGAATGCTATGTGTGTCTTCAGTTATGGCTTGAAAGTATCAGTCCTCAGTAGCAATATAATTCAAGATCTGAAAGCTGTTCATTGTGTTCACTGGCCTAATGTAACTGATTTTTCCCCCTTTATGTTTTGAAAAATTGAAAATGTAAAATCATGATTTTCAATAAAATACAATTTCACTGAATGAGAATGAAGAAATAAATAGCTTCTTTATGAAGACCTCTCACAGGTTAATTTCCTTGACTGGTTCTTCTCCGATGGCATCCCTTTCTTCTAAGGTTCTAAGCTTTAAATTTGCTTCCTTTAAGAAGGAAGATTGAATTAAGATAGCCTAGATAGTACATGGGAAGACTGTAACTTTGGTTAATCTTTACTCTTGCACATTGGGCTCTGGATGAAAGGTTCCAGCTTGATCTGTTCCTAAAGCTTTATGGCTTTAAAAATTGGTAAGGTCCTATGGAAGAAAGACCACCATGTATTAAAGCATTAGTTAAAATTAAAAAGGTGAACACATAACTGTGCACAATAAATGCAGGCTGCAATTAGAAGTGGATTTTTCTGCTACTTTCAGACCCCGATGCCCATAGTTGCTGATTAGAAGGGATGGAGGTCCTTCTGGAAGAGGCTGGTTGCTGATGGATGGCTTCAGTGCCTGAGGGTGCTGGATGCCCTGAAGTAGGAAAGGAACTTGTAGCAGAGGCTCACCACAAAGTACCAGATGTTTCGAGCCATCTGTGACCTTGCAATGAAAATGCGCCAGATGATCACAAGGAGGGTGGTGTTGAATGCATATCGGATATTCCTCAGTCTGAGAAAAGAGAGAGACATATTACAGAGGAAGACAAAAGCAACAAAAACCTTAACAGCTTACTTCATTTGCTACAGATAATATTCTAAGAAATCTTGTTTATAAGTGGCTCTTGGGCTTTTTACCTCTACTATTTTAGTAAAAATACTGTGTCTAAGATGTCTCTACCAACCACCAAGACTGTGTTGAAGTTACAATGTAGTGCATAGTTAAGATAATAGATGGAATATCTGCATTGTAAGACTCTCTTGCTCCATGCACTCTACTTTCAGACCAGAATAGATACTGAAGTCATGCTGAGAGTTTTTTTTGTTTTGTTTTGTTTTGTTTTATGATAGTGTAGACCAATACCTTCTGCTTTGATTTGGTGTATCAGTTATTTTTGACTATGTAGGATTGGTGACAGACTGGAGGCATTTTACAGTCGATGAATGAGATTCTCTTATTTGTATGAAACCTTGCATTTAATGCTGGGAAATTATTCAGTAATCATAAAGGTCTTCACTTTTGCAGTACTGTAGCACTGTTGAATAGTTGTATTTTTGTTTGTTGTCATGTTTTGTTGTTGTTGTTTTTGTTTTTTTTTTTTACACCATACATTTAAACTGAATTACTGGCTCTTTAAGATGCTAGTTATATTGTCCTCTGTGTCAATCCAAAGGGACCTAGACAGACTTGTGAGAGGGCCTATGCAAACATCATGAATTTCAACAAGGCCTAGTGCAACGTCCTACACCTAGGTCAGGGTAATTCCAAACACAAATGCAGGCTGGGTGGTGAATGGAGCCCTGAGGTGAAGGACTTAGGGATATCTGTTGATGAAAAACTCAACATGAGTTGGAAATGTATACTTGCAGCCCAGAAAGCCAACCATATCCTGGGCTGCATCAAAAAAAGTGTAGCTAGCAGGTCAAGGGAGGTGATTCTCCCCTCCTACTCTGCTGTATCCTATGAAGTCAGAGTTGGGTTTTTTTAGCCTGGAGAAGAAAAGGCTCTGGGGAGACCATATTGTGGCCTTCCAGTACACAAAGGGAGCCTACAAGAAAGGTGGAGAGAGACTGTTTTATCAGGGTAGTGACAGGACAAAGGGGAAATTTTAAGCCAAAGAGAAGTTTTGATTAGATATTAGGAGGAAATTTTTACTATGAGGGTGGTGAGGCACTGGCACAGGTTTCCCAGAGAAGCTGTGGATGCCCCATCCCTGGAATTATTCAAGGTTGGATGGGGCTTTGAGCAACCCGGTCTAGTAGGAGGTGTCCCTGCCCATGGCAGGGGAGGTTGGAAATAGGTGGTCTTTAAGATCCCTTCCAACCCAAGCCATTCTATGATTCCTTGCTCTGGCAACAAGATGTTTTCTACTTCCAGTATTTTCAGTGCACAAGAATGGTTTCCTCAAAGGAAAAAACAAAACTCCAAGAGAGCTGTGCTCATTTTGCCTACACTCCTCAGTAAAAGGACTGGAGAAGATAGGAAGAGCTTTAACTGAAAAGGAGGAGGACAATCTCATTTAGAAGCTCCTAAAACTTTCACCAGGGCCTCAAATACATAAGTTCTGAATAAGTTTTGGAGTTTTTTCCATTTTGCATCTTCTCTCCCCCTAAGAAATCAGAAACTTCAACTTTAAATGAAATTCAAAATTGCACTAGCACTTAAAGTTTTTATGCAATCCCTCTCCATTGGAAAAAAACAAGAAACCAAAAAAAAAAAACTATCTAGGAGCTTCATAAAATCTAAATTTGACCGTTAGTTTTCTATTATAATTGTGAATGACCAGGAACTTCTACATTCATAAATTACTCTTATGTATTGCAACTTCACTATTTGGTCACCTGCTGTGAAAGCATAATGTTTAGCCCCTGACTGTTAGTGTCATCAAGAGTCCTTTTTTCTCACAGGATGAAAACATGAAGTACCAACAATGCTCTGTCATTTAAAAAATAAAAAAAAAAAGGCAAAAAAAAGCAAAAAAAAAAAAAAAAGCTATGCTATATTTATCTCCATATTATTCAACAATAACATATTTCAATGCAAATAAGATAATTTTCCTCACAATACATTCAAGATAGCCAGGAGCTCTGGCCCTTGTCACTGGGTATGACTTACTTTCGTAAGTGCTGCTTTGCTGCTGGGATGCCAGACATGTCCTCATTTAGCAAATACTTCTTAGCACCTAGGCAGTAGCTTTCAATGTATTCTGACCAGTGCAGCTGACGAACATCAAAGTTGTATAACTGGGAGATAAAGACAAAGAGCAGAAGTTTTATGCCAGAGTTCAAAACAAGTTCACTTTAAGCCTCATTCTTCACTGACCTGCTCCTGACAAGGCCCTCTCTATTAAGTTCTTAAAGCCACTAAGTTTCAAAGAAGACATGGACACTTAAAAAACTATTATTTCACAGCTGTCAATTGAGCTAAACAGCTGAGAATTTGGGCAAAGAAAGTAGAAATTTAATGTTACCTGTCAGAAAACAAAGGTAAGTTTGTCTTTCAGGTCGCCACTTGTACATAAACACATGTATGGTACACGTACACACACACAATCTTGGAAGAAAAATGGCATTCCACTCAAGCAAACATACAGCTGAAAGCCTCCCTGCAGGTTTTTTGCATGTCACTAGAATTAGGTGTAAGTAAATGAACTGGACATTGAATCAACAGGAACCTCTGCAGTGGTTACTACTCTGTGCTGTGCTCCATTTTCTTTCATCATCTAGATTGATAGAAATCCAAGGAATGGGTTATTCAGTTGTTTGGCATCAAGAAATCTCATTGCAGAGCTAAGTACCCCAATTAATTTCAAAAGCTGATATTGGAAAAATTGATAGCAAGCCCTCAGGTTGTTGTCTGTCTACTAGAGCAAAGAAATGATTTGTAAAGAGGAAAGGAAGTGTTTTTGTTGTGGAGTGTTTTTTTTTCTTTTCTTTCTTTTTTAATGAAGCAGTGAAGTGAATGGTGCTTCTTACTTATAAGGTCCTAAAAGGACGGATAGTCAGAAAAATACCTTCTTTTCACTCTCATGACAAGCCAGGCTGGTTGGTTTGGTATGAGAACTTTGGTATCAGGACAGCAACAACTTGAGCGAAGAGGGGTTACCTAACTATGTCAAATGCAAAACATTAGCTACTGTGCAGATCACCATGGGCATTAGGTATGTTTAGAGAACTGTGCTGCCCATACCATACCTAGCTTGTCTACTTACTTGCAATGTACCTGTGGCAACATAGGATGCAGTGCATAACAATAGTTTTCATAACCAGCTTGGTAAGTGTCCTGGTTTCAGTTAGAACAGAATTAATTTTCTTCCTAGTAGCTGGTGGAATGCTGTGTTTTGGCTTAGGATGAGAAGAGTGCTGATAACACCCCGATGTTTTAATTGTTGCAGAGCAGTGCTTATACTAAGCCAAGGACATCTCAGTTTCTTGCTCTGTCCTGCCAACGGGCAGGCTGGGGGTGCAGTAAGAGCTGGGAGAGGACAGACCCAGGACAGCTGACCCAAACTGGTCAAAGGGGTATTCCATACCATCTGACATCATGCTAAACAATATATAGGGGTGGCTAGCCGGGGGAGGGGGCCGGACTGCTCAGGGTTAGGCTGAGCATCGGTCAGCAGGTGGTGAGCAATTGCATTGTGCATCACTTGTTTGTACGTATTATTAGTGGTAGTACTATTGTCATCATTGTATTATTATTATTATTATTATTATTATTATTATTATTATTATTATATTATTATTATTATTATTATTATTATTATTATTATTATTATTATTATTATTATTATTATTATTATTATTATTATTTTCCTGTCTTATTAAACTGTCTTTATCTCAACTCACGGGCTTCATTTTCCATTTCTCTCCCCCGTCCCAGAGAGGGAGGGGGGAGGGTGAGCGAACGGCTGCGTGGTGTTTAGCTGCCGGCCGGGTTAAACCACGACAGTAAGCCTGAAAAACTGTCTAGCTTGCACTGAAGTCCTTGCTGCTGTGACTTTTTGTTTATCTGCATCAGTACAAGCTCCTATATTACCACTTATGTTCCCTCTACATCTGCTATAGTCACAGCAGTACCAGTGCCCTTAACCATTCAAATTTGTTGCAAACAATACCAGTACAGACTAGGGAAGAAACCTCAAGACTTTTGTGCTGGGAATCTGTGTGAGAATTTTATGATGGGAGACCAATTTGATGTGAATGTCCAAGTAGACATGATGGGTAGACCTGTGCGGTGTCAAGAGTTGGACTTGATGATCCTTAAGGGTCCCTTCCAACTCAGGATATTCTATGATTCTATGAAGTATCTCTTTGCAAGGAGATACTGACCAAAAGTCCATTCAAGCTTTTCAGACCTTCTGCCTGTATTCCTTCAGTCTTTCAGTTACAACCCCATTCTTAAGGAGTTGTATTTCAAGCCTATAAGGACTACAACAGAACTTGACATCGTGCAAACAAATTGCTGCCTGGGAATTTAAATCAAACATAATTCTTTTTCATATTGTTCAGGCTAAGACAGCATGTGTTAACTAAACTTGCCCATGCAGTGCCCATTAAAACTAATGTGGGAGAAAATGCCAAAATCATTCAAGTGGTTTCCTTCCAGATCACCCAGCAAATTTCATACTGCCAGAGGAGATGAGGGAAAAGGTGACATAAAGGAGCCTTGTAGCTTTCTAAAAGTGAGACACTAAGAAAATTAGGATGAGAAGCTATTGAGAATGCTACACAGTTATCCAGTGATTAGTTAGTTGCAATGAAACTAACCTGAGCACATAACTTCATGTTACCATTGATATTGTCTTTCAGAAGAACCTGTACAGCACAATTAGTTTACATGGGCATATCTCCCCTCAACAGGTGATGCCTGAAAATCTTGAGAACCAGAACTGTAATATGAAAACTGGAACTGACCATTTATTCTAGAAATATAATGTCTGTACAAAAAGGAGTGCCGTTATCTGTCCTACTCCATTGGGTATTCCAGTCTATGTAGACAACCATATGGGAGGTAATAAAGCTGCCACCATTACATATGATGCCATTAACTCCTTCAACTCAAAGGGCTGAGTACAGCTGGTTCACTGAGGATATAAATTTATGTTCCTATATTGGGTTGATGTGGCAAGGGTTTGGTAGCAGGGGAGCTGCAGGAGTGGCCTCTGTGAGGGGCTCTAGAAGCTGCTTCAAGTTAGATCAGAGCCAGTTCCACACAACTCCGAAAGGAATCCACTACTGGCCAGAGCACAGCCAGTGAGCAATGTTGGTTGTGGCTCAGTGAGAGATTTAAGAAAGCAAAACAAAACAAAACAAACAACCTGCTGGGCAACAGCAGCTGGGAGAGAGGAGTGAGAACCAGCCCTGCAGACCCCAAGGTCAGTGCAGAAGGAGGGCAGGAGGTGCTCCAGGAACGCAGCTAAAGTTCCCCTGCAGCCTGTGGAGAGGCCCCTGGTGGAGCAGGCTGTCCCCCTGCAGCCTGTGGGTCCCACATGGAGCAGATCTCCACGCTGCAGCCCGTGGAGGAGCCCCCGGTGGAGCAGGTGGATGTGGCCTGGAGGAGGCTGTGGCCCATGGAGAGCCCCCGCAGGAGCAGGCCCCGGGCCGGAGCTGCAGCCCATGGAGAGGAGCCCACATAGGAGCAGGGGGCCTGGGGGGAGCTGCCGCCCACACGTGGGGGACCCGTGCTGGAGCAGTTTGCTCCTGGAGGATGGACCCCGTGGTACGGAGCCGTGTGGGAACAGTTCTTGAAGAGCTGCTGCCTGTGGGCAGTCCCCGCAGGCTCAGTTTGGGAAGGACGGCATCCCGTAGGAGGGACCCCACGGGGAGCAGGGGCAGAGAGTGGCTGTGAAGTGGCAGGGATAAAGCGTTAGGGACAGACCACAGTCCCCATTCCCCATTCCTCTGCACCACTTGGAGGGAGGAGGTAGAAGAGGGTGGCTGTAGAGAAGGTTTTTTTTGTTGTTGCTTTTGTTTTAGTTTCTTTTGTCTGCTAGTGATAGGAAATAAATTATATTAATCTCCCTGTGCTGAGTCTGTTTTGCCTGTGACAGTGAGTGATCTCCCTGTTCTTATCTCAGCCCCTGATTCTTTTTCATTGTATTTTCTCCCCCTTTTCCTTTGAGGAGGGAGAGTGAGAAAGCGGTTGTGGTAGGGTTTAGTTGTCCAGCCGGGTAAAACCACTATAGCTCCCTTTGTGCAAGCCATTTTGTCTGTGAAAGCAAATCTAGGTTATTTATATGCCAAACAGGAACTTGAAAACAAAAGGCAGAGCGCTGCCTTGTTAAATGGAAAGACTTCACTGACTGAACTCTCAGAGAAGAAAGAGTAATACATCTCAGGAGAAACTATCCTCCAAAATCTTCCAAATGGAAGGTTCCTGATAAGTTCTTTAATAAAACAAGGAGGAATATATATTTTCAGATCAAAGTCAGTACCAGTCATCTAGGCAGATGCCATTCAAAGGCTGAACACAGCACCAAAAATAATTGCTGCAGATGAACAGACGTGGAGTTCAACAATCCACACGCATGGCATACTTACCTTTCTGTCCTCTGTGTTAAGCTGACCCATTAACATATTCATATTATCTGAAGACCAATCCCAGGACTGGGTGGAGAAATACTGCAGGAGCATCATAGATTTGTGCAGTCGATTGATAATCTTCATCATTCTAAAATAGAGGAGGAGAGTCAGAGATGAACTTGAAGTTTGTCCTTACACAAAAACTGGATTTTTGACGTGTAGATGTTTTCACAGGTGAATAGGACTTGCAAAGCCTGATGAGCCCTCCGCTGAAAACTAACTCAGCAAGAGTCTAACAACTGCTCCAGCTGAGGTCCTGAGCCTACAGCTGCTCAGCCTTTATTTTTGTTCTGAACACGAGTGCAAACAAGCACTCTCCAGGGCAGGACTGAGGCTTAACTTACTGTCCTGAACTGCAAAAGGGTAAGAGGCCACACTACCCATGGTAGTGTGCAGTGAAGAGCCCATCTTAACCAGTACAAAGTCTGCACAGCAGATTGCAAAACCACAAAGGTGTGTTGTTTGCCTCACAAGGCAGATAATTCTCTTTCTACCACACAAATGTTTGTCTGTTCTCAAGCTAGAGTTGACTCCTGAACTGAGGCTCTGATTTTGGAGTTAGCCCATACTGAGTCAGCTCTAATTCAGAGGTGACTGCCTCTGCGGCATGGACAAGATCTTAAGCCTATTGCTCAACTTCACTTTTCAGATAATGGCATCTTTTTCACGTTTCATGAAAAATCATGAGGTTTCTCTGATCTCTCCATTTGACTTAAAGGCCACCCTTCTCCCTGTGTAATATACAGTGGCAGATGGGAGTGATTTTTATGTCCTTCCTTACACAGGAAGAGCCTAATAGCATTGCAGTCCTGGTGGATGACCTTGGAAATCATCGTACACATTATTTTGGGGTGGGAGGAATGGGAAGGCACAGTGAAACTATATGAATATCTTCCTGAAGCATCCTCATAAAGATGAAAGCTGGTCCAGGGCTGCTAAACAGGAACTTTGGAAATGTGGGTTCAGGTCTTTCATGTGTCTTGGCCTTTCTTTATGACTCATGTTTACATAAAAGGGGATGACAATAATGCTGTCCTACCTCAGGATTATTTTACAGGTATTCCAATGGTCACGAGTATGAAAGGCCTGTGGGAGGCAGTTGTTTTAAAGTGGGATGTGCAGTGCTCAGCCCATTTTGAGAAAATGCCATGTTCTCTCAGACTGGATAAGGACAAGGGAAAGGATTAAAAGGCTGATTTCTGGGGAAAACAGAGCTGTTTTCACTAGGAATTTTGAGCTGCCTAGAGGGTAACAAAGTCAGTGTGACAAATAAAAGGCGGCAGTCTGTGGAAGAATGGTGCCAGGCTGGCCTCTCTCTGTGCAGATGTGACTGCCACTTCGATAAGAACCAAGCACAGCAGAAAAAGACACAATGAGTACATCAGTTCAGAGGAGAGCTGTGCAGCTTACTAAAAGTGATTTTAAAGCACTCTGAAACCTTGCATAGACACTCCTACTCAGAATTAAAGTGGCTCTCATTTTAGAAGCAGTAAAACAGATTTAGGCATGTAACTATTCAGATTTCATTCTGAATAGTTACATGCATATTGATTAAATACAGTTTATCTAAACTACTTTAAAATTGTTTCAAATTAATCTTCCTGGTTGTGCATGTGTAGGCAAGTATGACAGGAAGAACTTAGTGAGTATTTTAATACCTTTTAGAAACTTGGAAAACAACGTATCAGATTGCATTGCAAAGATCGAGTTGCCTCTTAAACTGGCTCTTAAAAAGCCATCAGTATCTTTAAAGTACTTAGGGTTAATGGAATCTGTCAGAAAAATAAAGAAAAAGAAAGGAAGAAAAAACATAAAGGAATTAAAAGTGTGTCCCTGCTTTTGTTTTGAAAATAGGCTGTCACACTTGAAAACAAATATCCTATTGACATGGCCTCCTGTCAACGTGGGCAGAATGAGCTCTGCCTGTAGATCTACCCAAAGCAACTTATCTGAGTAGCTGGAAGTATTCATCAAGGAGATAAATGAAGGCATCTAAACAGAAATGCACAAGAACTGCATTTTTCACTGTAACGGGTTCAGCTCAAATGTTGTTACCATATTTAAAATATTTACTAATTTAGATTAAGGATTACCATGTTAAAAAATATCAACCAAGGAGATAAATGCATTTCTGCACTCCGTGCAGCTATAGGAAAATTTTTGTTTAGATTATCTGTTTTCTCCACTGTGGATGAACTGAGAGGCCAGGATTACCTGTCACCAATAGCCTTATTAGTTACACTTCAGAAAGCCATGTTGTCTTCTAGAAAGCTGTTTACAGAAATTATTTATTTATTTTCTCCCATACTGAGCCTAGCATAAGCAGATTCTCAGGTGTGACAGGTTGCCTCAAGAGACTAGTATATAAACCACATTATTTTTCTAAGACGTGGATGGATGTATAGCAATAAAGATAATCCATTTAGGGCAGTTTTGCTAGACACCTAGCAATTTATGTGAAGTGAACTAACAGTGAAAGTAAGATTCTCAGGAGTGGCAGAATATAAAAGTCTAAAGCTGATGGAGATGGATTTTGTCGCAGCCATGAAGATGGCTCATTCTTTGATAGGTGGGAGTGACAAGCGGGAAGAAAGTTAAGTCCAGGAGCTTTCTCAAAGCAGAGGAAAAAATATGAAGGGTAACATTAAAGCAGGTTCATTGACACATTTTATTTTTATTTTTTAATAATATTTGAATATGGTTTACTGCTCTTAAGGCATAAAGACCTGATATTTAGGTAGGTGAAAAAAAGACAGAATGAGCTGTTACCATTCTCTATCTATCTCACATTATTGCAGTACCTGGATAAGCTTAAGTAGCCCTGTAAAATGAAATATGAATTATAAAGAAAAAAAAAAAAAGACTTAGGTAACAAAGTTACCTAACCTGAGCCATGTTTGCTTGGGTCACAGATCTGAAAGTGCACAAGAAAAGATTCTTCTCAGCATGAGTTCATGCTGAGCTCTACTTGAAATTCAAGTATGGTTTTATGGCCAATAACCACTGGCTACCTGCAATCAACTTTATCAAAAATGTCAGTTGTAATATCAATAGCAAGATCTTACTGCTGCCTGTTTTAACAGAGCACTGAGATTACAGCCTATTCTTCCTCATCCTTAGTTTACCTCTATTTTTATGGAAATTCTTGCCTACTAAATAAGTGGAAGTCATTTTATAGACCAGTTTCCTTCTGTAGCAGACAATCAGAGAAATCAGAGCAGTGCATCAGCCAGGGATTTCCCTGCAAACAGCCAAAGCCAGCTTTCTAACTAGCAGTTAGTGTAGAGAGGCTCACATGGAGCAGAGCACCAGCACACTGCTCTGTTCTTTCACAATAAATTTTCCTCCATAATGGCAAGGAGTAAAGAAGGAAGTTGGCTGAGTTGTGTTATTTACATTAGGATTCCTTCCACACAGGACACAGATAGCTATGTTCCTCCTAGCTGTGACACTGCCAAGGCTCAAATACCAATTGCAATGGTAACCTGTCCTTGTAAATACAATTCGGAATTTATTCATACTCAGAAACAATTGTTATGCATCCTAGATTTCCAGTTGTTTGGCCAGTGTTGTCAACTGCTAATTATGCATCTGATTCCTGAGGAAAAAAAAAAAAAAAAAAAGTTACCTAGAACTGTTCTAAACCTTGCCAGTCTCAAGTCCTTACACAAGCTTGATTCCTTACTCATAGCAGCAATCACATCACAAAGCTGCAACAATGAAAATCTTGCTACACAGAGGACAGAACAACTAACAGTCTTTCTTCTGCTGGCTTGGGAACCTCTGAAGTGTGCAAAGCTGAGTTTAAAACCTGTGGTGTGCCCTGAGCACTGGAAATGTTGGGAATGCTAGGCTATCCTTATCTATGGCCATTCGGTTCCTTTTCTTTTTGAGTAATCTCAAGACAAGGCCTGGAGTTGGGAGGAAGACCAGGAACTCCATGCTGGGGCAGCCAGTTCTCAGGAGTTGCTAGACTCTCTATAACAGCAGCTGATGCGCAGATAGTTGAGGGCATGCAGTTTCTTACCTGGGCTTTCTTCCTGTCAGCCTCATGTACAGGTCATAGAGTATGGCTGGAGCCTTGTGACTGACAGTTATCCAGTACTGGTTTATCAAGTAGTTTGATGTCAAGTGAGCATTGGGTGTTCGGAAGGCCTGCTCCAGTGGGTTTCTTTTGAATGTGGACATGACATACTGTTCTGTAAGAGAGCAGGAATTTAAAATCAAGCATTTGGCTGAGTTGGGCAGAGCCATACCAACATGGTATGATAAAATCTCCGCCTTCTTGGCATCTCCTGTTACCCTCCTTGTTCAGCAAGGGACCCACATTATCCTTAGTCTTCCCTTTACTGCTTCCCTTTCCCTTTACATACTTAAAAAAAAAACTTATTATCTTTTATCTCTTTTGCAAGCCTCATCTCTAGGTGGGCTTTGGCCTTCCTTGTCACATCCCTGCAGGCCCTGACAACACTTCTATACGCCTCCAAAGAGGACAGGCCGTTTTTCCACGTTTCATAAACCTTCCTCTTCCTTTTGATCTCATCGATGAGCTCCTTGGTCATCCACGCGGGTTTCCTGCTCTCCTTCCCCAATTTCCTACTCTTTGGGATGCACTGATCCTGAGCTTGGAAGAAGTGCTGTTTAAATGTTGCCCAGCTCTCACATGCACCCTTGCTTTCTAGCAACATAGGCCATGAGGCTCTGTGATTGCAACGAGATCGTGGCCCCGCAACCGAACACAGATCTTGAGCTCATCCTGTTTATTTCCCGTGCTCCGTGCATTGGTATACAGGCACTTTAGGGAAGCAGCAGGCACAGTTACCCCTGAAGGAATGCAAGAAGAAAATTCCGGATGGGGTATCGGGATCATTACCTTCTCTGAGGAGCCCTCAGCCAATCCTAAGAGACAACTCAGACGTTTTTCCCTACTATCTTCAACAGTGACAGCAGTGACAACTTCCCCCAGCCCTTCTCTGTCACTTTTAGCTCCCCTCCCTTCCCCTATCAAACCTAGTTTAAAGCCCTGGTAATAAGCTCGGAGAGCTTGCTCCCCAAAACACTTGTGCCCCCACTTGCTGAGTTGAAGTCAGTCAGCAGCCCACATACCCGGCTTCTCAAAGGGCTGCCCAAGATTGAAATACCCAAATCCTTGGCCCAGACACCACCCCCTCAGCCAGTCATTCACCTGTCCCATTCTCCTCCTTCTTTCTGGATCCCGGTCACCCAGAGCGAGGACAGCGGAGAACACTACCTGCACCCCTGACTCCTTCAACAACCTTCCCAGGGATGCAAAGTCCTTTTTAATCTTCCTCATTTTTCTAGTTGCAGCTTCCCAGGATCCAACCTGAACGACAACATGAGGATAGTAATCCTCTGGTTTCATGAGCTGTGTCAGACCCTTCTGACCCCGTCTCTGACACATGCCCCAGGAAGACAGCACACCTCTCTGGGTAGGTTATCTGGGCGCCAAATGGGAACCTCAGTGCCCCTCAGCAAGAACTCTCTGATCACTTAGAATCTACATACTTTTTTGGTGGCACTGGTTGTGATGCACTGCTCTGCTCAGCCCCGATCCCTATGCTCAGTATTTCCCCCAATCTTGACACGCTTCACAGGGTTGCTTCCCGGGTTCAGACTACTGCCCAGACCCTCAACCTCATCCTTTTCCCACCTGAGAAGGGAGTCACCTACAATTACCCTTCTGTCTTTCTTGGTGGAGGCAGTCTTGAGGCATGGAGTCAACTTCATCGCCCTTGGCATCCTCCTGGGTGTACTTTCTACCTCAAGCTCACCCACCGGTCTCTCAAGCTCCAGGGCCTCAAATCTGCTGTGTAAGAGCACCTGGGAAGGTGGGGCCAGCAGGGGGTTGTTGCCTGCGAGGTCAAGCAGGGACCTGTCTCCATTCCTCCTCAACTCCCAGGTCCCCTCCCTCAGCCCAGCTGCAACAGGGCAGGGGGTCCACCCCCATTTGGGGTGTCTCACCCCGGTACCTCTCCTTCAGGCCCTGCAGGGAGTCACTCCACCAGTCTATCTCCTGCTCACACTCCCTGATGGCCCTCAACCTCTCCACCTCCTCCTTGAGCCCTGCCACCAGGCGGACCAGGTCATCATCCACCTGCTCACACCTCACACGCACGGTGTCTCTGCCTCCCTCATAGGGCAGCAACAGGCTCAGGCACTCCCTGCATCCAGAGACCTGAACTGCCGCATTGCTGAGCAGGCAGTCAGTCTGGGTGGTTACAGACTTTCTAGAGAGAGGTCTCTGCCTAATGTAGAGCATTGCAGCCTAGCTAGTGGTAGACAGCCATCAGAGGAGTTGTTCTTATGGGCAGGGGGATCGCCCTGCCCTCCCTGCTCGCCCTGCCTGCACTAACTACCACGCCCCACCCTGCTTGCCCGTCCAGGTCGCCGCGCTCCCCAGGGGCGGCTTTTGAACGGCCGGGGAGGGGGCGCTGCCGGCTCCGCCTATGCCTCGTCAGCCTCCCTTGCGAGGACTGCCGGGCCCTGGCGGCTCCCTCGGCTGCCTCGAGTGGCCTCGGTGCCGGGAAACAAGCGCTGCCTGTCCCGGTACCCCGCTCTGCTGCAGAACGCGTCTGCCCCAGAGCCGATCGCCTCAGTTCCCTTGCTGGGGACCGCTGATATTTTTGAATTGTGATAGTTCTGATATTGTCTGCATGGCTCAGTCTCAATTCAAGTCTTGACGTTACTTTACCACAAATCTAGTTTTCAACCGTAAACTGGTTGTGGAGGTGACCTTTTGTAAGACGTTAAAGATATTGCTGCCTTTCTTTTCTCTTTGCATTTTTGGCAGAAAAAGCAGAAAGTACATCCCGTGTCATGTCAGACCATCAGCGATGCACGGAATTCACTCAGATCAGCAACACCTTTCTCATTTTAGTTACTTAAGGTTTGTACTGAGAAATGCAGCTGTAGTACAGCAACAATATTATGCTCTGTTCTTGATATAGGTTCTTCTCACACCAAGAAAAGATGAGACACTGCTGAAAACTCAAGAAAAAATCTGGAAGTCAGGAATGAAAGCAATGTTGTTTTAGAAAGTAAATAAGACGGAAGTGAGACCAGTCTGAAAGACTTTCTGAAAGAGTTAGGAAAATGCTATTTTTACATAACTTGGAACAGTTAATCCTACAGATGTTTTCTCTACAAATCTTCCCTATACTGGCTTGCACCAACTCAGCGCAATGGTGCTATCTCCCAGTTTTTGGAAAAGATTCAAACTTCACAAGACTAATAATAGCCTTTTATACTATGACAGTTTGTTTTTGGAGAGAGAGTCCAACAGACAGACCAGGCAAGCAAAGAATCCTGATCCAGAAACACACCACCTCTAGGAGCTACTGAAATGACAGTGGGTGGTCTTTCCTCTCCTACCACTGCATGAAAACGCAACAGAAAATTCTACAACTCAAGGGCATATTTAGCAGGGGGAGAATCAGACATAGGTCTCTCCTAGATAGACCACAAAAAAAATTGAATTATTTTTTTTCCCCCACACACTGAACACTATTTTAAAGTATACTTTAAGAATTTGTCTTGAGCAGAAATAACAGAATGTGCTTTACACAGTCAGACTAGTAAGACTTGCACTGCAGCAAAGTAGAATACACTTCTTTAGTTTAATACTCAGTTGTCTGACCACATTTTTGTAATGGTGGGGAGAATAACTGCAGTAACAGAAGACAGAAAAAATCCGAAGGCATAGCATTCTTTGTAAAAGAAACAAACCAGCTAAAGTTCCTTTTAGCAACAGAGGTTTGTTTTTATCTGGAGATCTACTGAATAAGCTGTTCTGCAATGTATGTTTCAGCCTAAGCTCTTACTTAGACTTATATATTTTTCAAATAATTTTCTTTTAGATCTTTCTCTTCCTTCTTTCCAAGTGCATCACCTTTGTACTCATGTTCTCATGTCAGTCTTTTTTGTTCCCTACCCAGGGCATCCTCAGCCCACTTCAGTCTCAATTTCTCTGTTTTGTCTTTCTCTCCTTTCCTCCTCACCAAAGAACCATAACTGTGTTGTGCTTGCTGTTATTCCTGCAGTTTGTCCTGGTGTAAGTCTCAGTAACCAGGTGCTCCAGCTCCTTCCCTCTGCAAACTCCAATTTAGATTTGCACTAAAATGCTCAGTCCCACACCAGATGACCCCCATTCCCCAGTCTTGTTTCTTCCAAGTTCGCTCTCACAATCTTCCATCTCTACGATCAGTTGCCTGCCTCCATGACCTGATCTGGAGGTAGACACCCAGCTATAACATTTTCAACCTGCAAAGTGAAGCATTAGCAGATCTAAACACAATTGGAAATGTGCTTTCAGAAGGGGTAACAACTTGAGTAGCAGCAGATGCTGCCCTGTGTGTGCAAAGGAAGGAACTGACAGGTGAAGTTTGGTTGGTCTCTGCAGGGACTGGACTATATGGTGGAAGCCCATAGTTCAGAGAGAGCACAGGTCTGAAAAGCCAGATGTGAGTTCATGCCAAAAGAGTGGGTGCCCAGAAGCCATACAGTGAGTATATAGAGAAATATACCCCTCATACCCCTCCGCAGCCTGCTGATCACACAGTGTTACACAAAGAGAAAAGATTGCCTTCAGTCCAATCACAACGCTGAACTGCTTTTGCAAGCCTCTGCTGTGCTCAGATGATTTAATTGTTAAATTCACAGTTACAAGCAAAGTAACTTAATAAGATCAATCACAATGCATTATTACACCACTGTTTTCATCAGCAAAATTATATTGAAAATAGATTAGAAAGGCAAATCTCAGGTGGCAATACTATGGTGGTTGTTGCCTAAAGTAACAGCCTGTAAGCAGCTTTCCATTTACTCTTGTGAAAAAGACACAGAAGATCTGAATTGACAAGTTACAAGGCTGCATTTTCAAAAAATTAATCTGTGATGCTTCACCTCTCTTCTCAGACTGTCAAACCACAACATTAGGTATCTTATTAAAAAAATGTCAGGAACCTGGTTTGATTTTTTCACAGCTCTACCAATTGGTGAAGCCTCTTCCCTGCTAGATCAAATTGCATGGTAGGACATTAGTAGTTTTTTTTCAGATAAGTCTTGTTCTGAAAATGCACTTATGGTCTGATTCTCTGCTGACTTAACAGTTTGCCAGTTAAATAATGCAAAGCAAAGGTTGAACTGTGAAATATCACTGTAGTGATTTGCCAGCATCCTGCATTTTAATTGCAAACGTGAATGATTGTATAACAGAAAGCAGATCAGGCTATATACATCTATCCGTGAGTGTAGTGAGTCTACTCGGTATTTCACAGTATGCAGCTGGGCAAATTCTCCTACTTATCCTCAGTGTCAGTTTTCCACTGAAATGGTGTCAGGATTTGTCTCCCTTTGTTTCACCCCTGCCTCAGAAGCAGAGACACTTGAAAAAGACAGCCATGCAAATCACTTGAATTCTTCCACTGACAACATTCATCACAGAATGGCTTGGGTTGGAAGGTACCTTAAAGATCACCTAGTTCCAATGCCCGTGTCATATGCAAGGATGCCACCCACTACAGCAGGCTGCTCAGGGCCTTGTCCAACCTGGCCTTGAACACCTCCAGGGATGGGACAACCACAATCTCTCAGGGCAACCTGTTTCAGTGCCTCACCATCCTCTGAGTGAATAATTTCCTCCTAATTCCTAATAAAAATCTCCCTCTTTTTGTTTATAACCATTCCCCCTTGCCCTGTCATTATCTGATTGAGCAAAGAGTCACTCTCCATTGTTTTTATAAGTCCCCTTTAAGTACGGAAGAGCCGCAATGAGGTTACAACCCCAGAGCCTTCTCTTTTCCAGGCTGAACATCCCCAGCTCTCTTAGCCTTTCTTTGTAGGAGAGATGCTCCAGTCCTCTGATCAGCTTTGTGGCCCTCCTCTGGACCCATTCTAACAGGTCCATATCCTTCTTGTGCTGGAGGCTTCAGACATGGATGCAGGACTCCGAAGTGGGGCCTCAGAAGGCAGAGCAGAGGGGGACAATCCCCTCCCTCAACCTGCTGCTGGCCACCCCTCTGTTGATGCAGCCCAGGATGCAGTTGGCCTTCTGGGCTGTGTAAGCACACACTGCTGGCTCATGCCGAGCTTTTGGTCCACCAGAACCCCCAAGTCCTTCTCCACATGTGCTCTCAACAGGTTCTTCTCCCAGTCTGTCCTCATGCCTGGGATTGCCCTGGCCCAGGTGCAGCACCTTGTACCTGGCCTTGCTGAACCACACTAGGTTCATGTTGGCCCACTTCTCAAGCTTGTCCAGGTCCCTTTGGATGGCATTCCTTCCTTCTCTTGTATTGACTACACCCCTCAGTTTGGTGTCACCTGCAAACTTGCCGAGGGTGCACCCAATCCCACTGTCTGTGTCATTGATAAAGATATTGAAAAACACCAGTCCTAAGACAGATCCCTGAGGGACACCAGTTGTCACCAGCCTCCACATGGACATAGAGCTATTGTCCACCACGCCCTGTATGCAACCTTCAAGCAAATTCCTGATCCACCAATTAATCATTTGATCCACAATCAGAAGTCAAACTGTTCTTGAAGCATATCTGTCATTTTAAACTTTGCCTTCTCTGGTCTACACAAACTATTTCTGTTTAAAAGGTTTTGCACAGAAGGAGGAAGAGAGGCTATCCTACTGCATTAATATACTAGTTTTCTGAAAGTTAGAGCTTTCTTCATATTGATGCAAGATTCACTACTGAGGTTCTCCAAGAGATCTCAGAGCACACACACACACAAAAAAAAAGAAGCACAAAACCCAGTAACCAGGAAAGGAAAATATCTAGTTACAGCTATGTAGAACACCTTCTTCTACAATTTAGCGACTGGTTCTCTATTCCCTTTTCCACCACATTAATACCTTAGTTTAGCAAAGTATATACTTTGCTTGGTTGTTACATGATAATGCCTACAGTGAAAACTGAATAAATGCTTTCCTGAGCTGAATGCCCAACACCAGGAGGTTTTGCTTACAGGACCTCACTAACTGCAATTGTGCCTCCCACATATGGTTTGAATGACAGATGCAGAATGTCATCTAACTACAGGAAGCCACCTTTCCAAAGCCTGGCCAAGGAATGCTATTGATGGTTGACTTGTTCTAGTTTTAAAGTATACCTTACCCATTTCTCCCCAAAAGAAAGGGTTGATTCCACCCGTTGTACAGTTGTACACCAACATATTTTTTGGCCTGGGAAAGAGAAAGAAGTATTATTTTAATGTGTGAAGAAAAGCACCCAAAGATTTACTAATGGAGAATAAAAACTAACAGCCCAAGTAACAATAACAACAGCTCATTAAAAAAATTGCAGAGGTCATTTTTCATAACTATGAAAACAATGTAAAACACAAAGTTTTAATTAGATTCATTCAGATTCTGAAGAGCATTATTTTGTTAATAAAGACAGATGGGGCTTAAGATAAATTATCCATATATCAGTTATCTAAAATTATAAAAAGCATACATGCTAACAAGTTTGTGATTGTTTTTAATAGTTTCTCTTAGTGTACTGTAAATAATTTGCCCAAACCAACCACAGGGAAACACTGTGCATTTTACAATCATTTACTTAATGATTATGATCTGCAATACTTTTGAAGTCCATTTGTCAAGGTGGTGACTATAAATCAATCAATTTCAACAAAATTCTCAAAAAGTTAAACATTTTTTTTCCATTCTCCACCCTCCAGCTGAGTTAGTGGTCTTGGTAGAGCATAGAGCTTCTACAGAATGTAGTGCAGACTGCAGTTCTCTAAGTTTTAGAATTCCCCCCAGTAATATCACTTGCCCTGAAGGATTTTGACTTTCTAACTAGACAATTACAAATAAATAAATAACTCATACACACTATCATTTGAGACAACACCTAAATGTGAAACTCACTCAGATAAATCAAATTTACAGAAGGCTCAGGCTTTTTTTTTTTTTTTTTACATGATTTATTAACCTTGGGGTCTTGCTCAGCTAGCCAAAGCTTTAAATCAAGTTCTGCACTTGCTCCTTTAGCCTAACAATTATTTCTGTGGAATCAAAATAAAAAACATGCATCTTTTGCCAACAAAGAGTCAGAAAAAATGGCACTTCTACTATGGCTGAAGACAAGACTTCTAGATATTTTTCATTAGCACATGCTTTTTTTCTTTCCCAGCTTTTTGGGCAGGCTGTAGCCCTCTTAATCTGGAAGTTCTAAAGGGTTTGTGTATAGGAAGATATATTTTCCCTACTGTGATACTTTGTCTGTTGCAGGTGAAAAAGGAAGAAGCTACAAAAGAAATAAATCTGAAAAGCTGGTGAGCTGCCTTTTAAGATCGTTTTAGGATCTCTGTATTGAGGTTAATGTATGATAATTTTCTCCACTCTCAGTTCAGTGGAAAGCTCTGTCCTTCAAAGTAAAATACTTCTGCAATTATTTGCTTAGTATTTCTCAGTTGCATAAATGTCTAGAATAATTCATGTGCTTTACTTTGTAGCACTTCCTACATAATGATCGAAGGTCAGAGATGGAGGCTCACAGAAAAGAACTTAAAACCTTAATGTCACTTATACATACCCTTCTCAACAAAGCAAAGAATAGGAGGTTTTAGTTCATCTCTCCTATCATACAAGTCTATAATATATATATTTTGCACTATTTTCCAAGGAAAACATTCAAAGTATTTTCACCAAGAAAACTCCAGAAGCCAGTTGAAAAGTAACTCAATGTAGCTGCATGAGAATGGAGGCATTTAGACCAAAACAAACAAAACAAACAAACAAAACAAAACAAAAAAACACTTCAGAAAGGTAACTGATGAGAGAGACTTGTCAAGTGAGCTTACGTTTTACTGAGAAACAGGTATTCCCTGTAGCTTTAGAGATTTCCTAACTCTAAAGTCTACCTTCATCACTTCTGTATGCTCTTAATCCTTGCCAAACCTGGGGGAGAAAATGTGAACCAGAAAATGAATCAACAAAGCTTCATTTAGCTTCTTTCTAGGTTCTCCCTGAAGTCCTGGTGCAATCAGTAAATGCTCAAGCCTAGCAGAAACCGAAGTGCCTTCCCACCTGTGCACAGCAGTGTACCACCCAGCTGCAAGGGTGAGGTTGATGACAACATCTACTGGAATCATATCGGCTACTGCTTCATTGTTGGCAATGACAGTCCGCAGAATCCCTTTACCTGCCTGTGGGACAAGGGAAAACAGTCACTGACAGTACCACCACACAAACATTTCATTAGCTTAGAGCATGGGCAGACCTTCACTTTAGGACTTTTCAACCCTGTCATCTGATGCAGAAGATTGCTTGGTTTCTGTGAAAACAAACACGGATCTCATGTGATCCCACTGTTCTGCATTTTCAGAGGAAGTCTAAAGCATGATGATATGTACTGCATATAACAAGAAAATCAGTCACTTTTAGTTAACTAAATATGAAAGAAATACTTTAAGAAATAAATGTATTTGAATTAACTGCAATAAAATTCCCAGTGAAGTTCCATTTTCCTAAATAACCCAGGCAGATGAAGGTCTGAGTATCCCTCAAAGACAACAGTTGCTTTGGAAAAGCCTGATAGGCTTTTTGAAAAGTTTTCTTCCTTTCCTTTGGATGTACTCATTGCACTTGCTACTTAAGGGAGTACCACTTACAACACTGATTTAATTTTCATGAGCTAAGGCTTCTGAACTGTTACATCTTATCCTTGGAGCAGCTGGTAGGGGGATCACAGACAGAAAGACTCAGATACAAGCAACCATGTAATCTTCTACGAATGACTCCAAACATCCTCCTCAAACCCATGGCATGCACAGTTAATTTCTGCTGTATTAACCTGAACCAACCACAGTTATGTTTAGACATGAAAACCTTTGCTTGCAACATCACTACTTGCTGTTTTTGTAGTTCTTATTGTTCTTACGGCTACTTTCAAGGGAATAAAAAGCAATTAAAAAGACCCAAAGTGAACAATGAAACTCAGCCAAAAATTTTCAGCTGTTGTGAATGCATGCCTAATAGAGACCACTGTGTGATCCACTATCCCATTTTAATAGGTAGAAAAAAGGTTTGACTTTTTTGGGGTCAGGTTTCTAAACCAGGTATTTTGATGGATGTGCTGCAAACATCTCTACTCAGAGCATCATGTGATGGTTATATACACAAGAATGAATTGGACATTTAGTATATTCTATATTTAGTACAGACTGCAGTTTTAAATGTTGTAAAGTACTTTTAATATTTGAAATGGTTATCGGTTGTGACTTGATTTCTACTTGTGGTTACTTTTTTTCTATTTAGTGAAATAGAAACGACTTCAGCTGAAGCCTTTGAAACTATTTGCCAACTTGAGTCTGACGTTTTTTGACAGCCTCCCAGCTGAAGTGCTTTGGGGCCAATTGATATTCAGAACATGATTTAAGCCATGGTTCTGCCCTACAGCTTCGTTACCTTGCATGGAAGAAAGTCTTTACATGTAATATGGAACAGTGAGACAAAATGCCTTAATTATAGGCCACCAGAAATGTAATTAACTTAATTTTGTTTTTCCATCAACAAACAAAGCTTCTCTCTACAGCAGCTGAACAAACTGTAGGTGAAGGAAACTAATTTCACTATCATGGACATCTTGAAATCCCATATTTCATTAATATTTAAAAGAAACACTTTATTTGTGGAATTAAATGATGAATAAGTCAGACTCAAATATCATAGTGACAGAAGAAAATGTATTCCAAAGTTTGAAGTTCAGATTATACCCAAGTGAACCTAAAGATCATCTGAACAAATCTAAACCTGTTTTTTTTCCTCCATGTAGGATGAGCTTGGGTTAGAATTTGGAAGTGAATATTTTCATATGGGGGGACATTTAAAAAAAAAAAAAAAAAAAAAGCAGAGCACATCTTCTCTGCTTTTTCTATCCTTAATTATCACCAATAAAGGTGATAATTAACCTACTTGACTAATAAATACACTTTGAAATACAGTCAACTCAGAGAGTTGTTTTTAATCAAACATTTCTCAGATAATTAAACTAATGCATAACACAGATATTCATGGGCTAATTTTTTGAACTACCACAAAGGAATTAAATACACCACATCCAAGCACATTAATTCAAACACGAATGTTCCCTCACCACAGAATACAAGTCTCTCGGATTCAGTAATAATAAATGCCTTTCACTTCTAGACAAGTAGTACCAGTTCAACTAAAATCAGTAGCACCTGGAGATGGTGCAAGACAAACACTGTCTATCAGCACTGGCAATCCCCTCTCCCTTTACATTACAGTATCTTTGCCCCAACTCTTTCCAGCTAACACTGCTGCTCATGGGGCCAGAAAACCACCAAACACCCTCGTCACTACACCCAGGATGTACTGCCTTTGCTTTTTGTTTGTTTCTTAGCTAATCTTGATATAACTATATTTCAAATCTTTGACTTTGAAGAATGGAAAATGATCACTACTTGTATGAGTGGTAAAGGATAACCATATAAAATATATGCAAGCTTTGGCTTAAGTAGCCATTATTATTTAAAACAAAACAAAACAAAAAATATAGTGATGTATGGTCAAAATTTTCAAATACTTAACCATTAGGCGTTACTTACTTGTTGATTATAACAATAAAAAGCAGGATTTTTTTTTAACTTAACAAAAGATCTGATTGCCATGTTTTTATTCGACTGAAATCATATGAACTTTAGCCTATGTTTCATAATGTATTGGCATATGATACATGTATGACAACTAGCTGCTATAATTTGTCACTTAGGTAACCCACTTGTGAGGATAAAAAGTAATGCAATTTTTTTTGTATAACATCTTCTGTGTAAACTGTAATTATAGACAAATTCTTGTGGCAGATTTTTAATGCTCAAAATTAATCATAAAAATTCAAAGCTCACAGATACTGTTAAAGAAGTTAGAACCTGTCACACAAAAAGTAGTGGATCTGCAAAATTAAGGAACTGCATAACTTTATTGTGGTGAAGACATGGGAACACTGAAAACAGCACAAGATTCTAGGAGTAAAGCAAAGAGAGGCGGTACAAGCTTTTGAGCAGTCAGCAATGAATAGAAGACTGATAGATAATTATTTGAAAGAAACCATCATATGAATAGGAACTAATAACACTTTGTGAACATAATTTGAGGGCCTTTTGAGAAGTGTCTGAAGTGTGTAACTGGGGTTTCAGATGAAAGCATTAGCTAGGATAAACCCACTATTTAACTAGTCCTGTGGATTCCAGAAGTAACTGTAATAGTTACTATTTATATTGTACTTAACATACAAATGAACTTTTAAAATAAGATACATGTTTTATTCTACTCTCCTATGACTGTAGACTACTCATCCTTTTATACACTGCAGAGGGTTGATTAAAACATAGTTTTACAAAGTAATCAAGTTGGACAAAACATATATGAAAAATATCTGTCCATAGCTACACAACATAATGCATTGTTGAGTTAAGGCAGTGATTTTAATTCAGAAAAAAATAATAATATATCTAAGCCAGAAGAAAAGACGTGCAACATTACTGTTATCATGAGATAAACTGTAATTATAGTTTTCATATTGGAGGGAATATTTTTCTCAAATTTTTCATTATTTATTTATTATATTATTTATTATTATAGATTTGCTCATCACCATTATGCACCAGTGACTATTGAACTCCTGCACAAAGCAATGTCAAGCAAGACACAGAATCTTCGTTCCTGTAGAGTGGTCATAAACTGTAGCAGTGGACTTAGCAACAATATATATGAAGATAAATCAAAGTATAAGTAATGCTGCCTCAAATTTGTGGCATGGTATTCCAGCCAGAAAGTTAAATTCTGTTATAAGATTCAATCTCTGACATCTGTGAATTACACCTCATTTCAGGGATGCGTTCTATGCCATTTCTTTGAAAATTTGGCCGAATTTCTCCAAATCCCTGAAAACTGAAATTAATGTTTAGTGAACAACATGCAACATGCATACTCTTCCAATGGCCTTTTTCAAGAGCAGCATAAATAGTATGCTGTGTGCCATGAGCACATAGGTGCACGGCAGACATGTGACATCTTTATACAAGATTCAGGGAGTTGCTATGACAGTTTTTTTTTCCACACAGTTTCTAAGCAGGACTTTAGAGTATTCTTTAGAGTTGCTATTTTAGTAACTAATTCCACTTTAAGGGAACTTTAAATAGTACTAGACATACCGCAACAAATATTCCACTTGTCCCATTGAAGCTGTCAATCCAACCCTGCAAAAGAGAAGGATGATTACTCTTTATTGCTATGATAGGTTGCTTACACAGTCTTCAAAATGGTTATAATGCTGTGGTGTAGATAACTGTTGCCTCATTGCTTCTTTAAGACAGATACCAGCCTATCTAGGACAGTTGCCAGGAAGCTAACTGGAATGAAAGTATCTAATTGATTTTAAATATGGATGCTTTGCATGATACCTCGTACTGTCTGCAATTTACCCATCAACAACACAAACTTTGTTTTTTAGAAACCACTTCTTTCCTATAGCAACTCGGCTACATGCTGTCAGACTTGCTGAAAACTGTCAGCATATTATATATCCACCAACATAAAACATTCAGATGCCATTAAGACTGATTTGATTACTTCAACTAATTTCTAAGGCAAAGAAGAAAAACAAAACAAAACCAAACAAAACCAGCCAATCAACCAAAACAAACAAAAAAAAATTTTGAATCCCATCCTATTCCAGCCCCTTGGGGGAGCTGGAGTTAGAGCAGTAACAAGTTGTATGACCTGAAGTGGTTTATAACACCTAGCAGAGTTCAGTCTGTCTTTATGAGATGAGGAATTTGGCCCAGAGCCTTGACTGTATCTCAGCCATCTTTGGCACAGTTCAAGCTTTATGACAGGCAAAGGTGACTTTATGCTGCCTTTCCAATTTGGCCGCAGTATTAGGGCACATTATTCCTACTGGTATATTTAGCCTGGTGAATTGTTTCAGTCCAGAAGTACAGCTGCATTTAATTACTGTGCCTGACACATTTGTATCTGCAACAGGCCCATACAAGAGTGAATCCACCGAGTTCAACAACTATCAAAGTAAAACAAAGATATTAGTAATGGCACATGTCATGTGCCATTATCAAATGTTTTCAAGGACCATGTGAAGTCTAGGGTGCTCATCAGGGCCTCATTAACAGGCTGTCTGGAACATGGGAAAAATTGAACCATAATGCAGCATGGCTGTGACTAACTTTCAGATTTCCTAAGTGTTTCCCCAAACCAGTATAGAAACTCTCCCATGTGTCCGCCTGGGCATAATATTCTGCGTATGACTGTCAATTGCAAATCCAGCATCTTACACAAATACTATTCTATCTCTTCTTAGTATTGCTTAAATGCATTCTTTCCACACACAGACAAAAATCCATCAAGATGTTGAAGAATTACTGTTCTAATTTAGCACGGATCCTCCACTTGCCCCATATGCTTTCCTATGAACTGGGGTACCTGTTTCTCAAGTGGACACTACCAGAAGTAGGAACAGTTTCCATGCAGAACTGCAGCTGCAACAAAGGACTCTCAGCAGGTAATTGCTATGGATTAATGCTTACTGGGAAAGGCTCATGCCAGCTAGCTCCCACAATGGATGGCCTGATGATAGCAATGTTCAGATTTCCTTTCTCTTGCTGAATCAGGTATTCTGACAAGGCTTTGGTGTAGGTGTAAGTGTTGGGCCAGTCTCCAAGCAGCTTGGGTGTGATGTCTTGAATGATAGATTCATCCAACCACCTACAGAAAACAAGAAGGATAACATCATTATTTGTCACACAGAGAGTATACAGAGGCAAAAAAGACCAATTAAGACAAGAATCCTCACCTGAAACAAAGTCAAAGACATTTAAGACAAAGCAAGGAGTGATTGGATTTAGAGTTTGCTTAACAGCTCTGTGGGAAAAGGTTACTTTTGTCTTGGAAGTACAAGATAACTCTGAGCTTCATGTTGTGATGTCCAGCTGAACTGCACATCTACACTATCTCATTGTAAAGCAATCTCACGTGTTTTATGTTTCAGTACAATCTGTTGAGTACCTGTGGTTTACAGTTCCTTTGATGGAATGTTCCAACCTCGTATTCTAGCTAGGTAGCACTCTTCTTTAGCCAATACAGTCCCTATAAGCCTCAAAGTACATTTCAGGGGATTCTTGGTAACCTTGAGTTACTGAGCTGAGTAGCATTGCAAAGGTTACAAAAGCTAAAACTAGGTACTACAGCAACAGTACTCCACTTGCACTATTTAAAAATGTTAGATGCTCCTTTCTCCTAGTTTTCCACTGATTTATTCACACAGAAAATTTCAAAATTGTCAGTGTTAGCTTCTTTAAAAAGAAAAAAAAATCAACCAGATCACCTTATTAAGGTATTCAGTTATTTAGTCCATCAGAAACAGTTCCATATATACCTTTAAAAATGTGGTTCTTACTACCACAGTGCTGTGGTGAGAACCTAGGGCTCTTCCCTGGCCCACCAGCAATACCTTACCGGTTCTGCCAGCATTTAGGTCTAAAGGACAGGAACTGGCTGTACTTCCACAGCTCTCACACGCTGCTGCCAATCCAGGACAGGTTTTCAGTAGGCTGAGGCTGCACCACAGAATCAAAGATTAACTCCTATAATCCAATTTGTAACTAAGTCAATGGACTTACAGCTCAGACTGACTGGTTGTACTCTTCCCAGGGGCACTGCAAGGATACTGTTTCCTGCAGATCCTCAGTTCACCCCTCCTTATCTTGAATTTCAGAAACAGGTGGAGGTCATGAGGAGAGGAGTAAGGTGGAGATCGTCATGCCTGGAGAATTACTTGATCACATCAACTTAATTGTGGAAACACCTAATGGCTCTGGTGGCACGGTGCTTTTCAGATGACTCTGACTGGAGTCCTACCACAGCCGAATATATTACAGTAAAATTTGTATTAGAAAACAATGACTGTTTGAAACAGCCAGTTTACAGAGAAGAATGAACTTCAGTGAATCTCTCAGTTGCAGAACTAGCTGAAAAGAATCTGACATTTTTAGTATATAGAAATTAAATCTTTTAAAGAAAAATCAAAGCCATATGTAGACACAAATATTTTCCTTTGCAACCTTAGTCCCATGTTCTAGAAATAAGGCAGAAAAATTGTTTAAGCATAAAAAAATGTTGAACTAAGCAGAGGCTATAAGTAGCACACAATATTGACTTAATTTACAAAGGCTGTTTAGACAGTCATGGAACTTGGCCTCTTCAGGGTTGCAGCTAAATTGTCATTGTCTGAATCTTTCAAGTAATTAATTAACAGTCTACCAAAAGAAGACATCTATTTCTTCAGATCCTGGAGGAAGTCTAGGTTGATTCATGAGCTCAGATTGAGCTGCATACAAAGATTTTTTCTGCCCCTCTTCCTATTTAAATTTAAGTTGATTAATTCATTTATTTAAATAGAGTCTTACAGGTTAGCAGATGTCACAAAGCAGACAGGTGTAGAACTACAAGCAGAAGCAATTTCCCCTTTCCCTCATCCTTCCAGACAAGTCTCCACATTACTTTAAGTGGTCATCAGTAGGACCACACCAGGTGATTCGATCTACTAGCATTACCATCACAAAAGTGCTGTGCTGACTGTTCAGAAAGGCAAATTGTTCCTACTCCTCTCTGTCTTTGGTGACCTACTTTGAAGAGTCTGAAATGCTAAGTCATAAAGCTACTGCTTTCACTCACAGTTAAAAATACTCCATAGAAGCAAGAGATGCAAACAATACATAGCCCCTTCTTCCACCACATACAAGCACTAAATTACCATAGGAAAACATATCTTACTGTGTTAATTGTTTTGCAAAGACTCTTTCTTGTAAGTGATGACAGATCTACATTTTCTGCAATAACAGTAAAAACAGTTTTGCTTCAGCCCACACTTCACTGTGTACTGTGCTTCTTACCTCAGCATACCCTTCAAAGCTGATTTCCCTCAGCTTTAGATTAAGGCAAACCTTTCTTGATGTGGCAGATTATATGTTTCCCTATCAGTCTGGCAGCACTTAGAAGAATGACTTCTGGTTTACACAGATAAAATCTAAGGTTTTCAATGCAGAAAAAGTATGAAAATACTGAAAAGGAAGGATATACCAGGAGAAAAAGAAGAGAAAAAGAAACAGCTGGGAATTGTGTATGGGATTTCACCTGAATACAGAATCATAAGCACATACCAATTGCATGGCCAAAGCATCATTGAACAGATCTGTTATTTAGTCCAGTTGTGGGGTCACAGCTTTTGATGCTTTTGCAGTTCTTTTCTACTTGTAGTTTCATGATGTAATTAACCCCTAAAAAAATGACACTGGCCAGCACCTGTTCTATTCTGCATGTCTCTTCATTACCTTACTGTCCTAACATCCCAGAGGCCTTCTGCTTCCTGCTCCTCCATGCATCTCCCTAATATATTGATCTGATCTGCAGAACACTTTCTGAACCAATGGCCCTTAAAACAGTGATGGGGACTACCTGATTTTAATGCCTTTGAAAGCAATGGTTGTCTTTGCTGTGAGTAATTATACCTCTATCTCCAAACACTGTAAATGAACAGATGCCATCCTAGTTGAGGGCATGCTGTGACTTCTATCTCAGTAGAAGTATCAGAGGGTGGTGAACTTCTGAAGTAAGGACACAAGAAAAACTGTAAATCACAAAAGCTAAACAAAAAAAGGCAAGAAAAAAAGTATCTCTAATTACGTGACTAAGAAACAATAACCAAATGTACTGCCAAGAGAAACACATTGAAGGACACATTTGAAAGTGCATCCTCTGTCACTCAGCCTGTCTTTTAGACGTCATTCTTTCTGCAGCATATACAAACTATGATAAATGAATTTTTACTGTCTTATGTCAAGCAGATGAAGTCGCAACCTCTGGAGTAGCAAGGAACTTCTGCATGTTTCTGAATAGCATAATTTTATCTGAGCCATCAATACTAATTGTTTCCAAAGTTGCAAGTGGTGATAAGCTTTTTGGGGCAGTGAAAGGTAATATTGATGGTGATGAACTCCATATGACCTTGTAAAACTGTGTCAAAGGGCAAAAAGTTGGCAGCTGTGTTTCACTGTAGATAAATGGGAGGTGATATGTTTAGTGAAGAGCAGGCAAAACGGGTCTTAGAGGTTGCTGAACCCAGGACTGGCAGTTAGAACTCAGCAAGAGCTATCGGGAGCACAGCTGATGTCTCTATGAAATCTCCATGTCAACAAGTAGTAGCCAACAAAAAATTCACTGAAGTACTGGATATTATCACATAGAGAACAAGACAAAGGGTGCCATTTTGAAGCTATTTAAATAAAACCTTAGGTGCCCAAACCTTCAGTACTGCACAGAGTTCTCTATGGCCCTCACCTTCATGGAGAGAGAGGAGTTAAAAAAGGCAAAGAGAAAGGAACAGGTAAAATCAAGGAGACAGATCAGCTGGCATATGAGGAGACAGCAAAAACACTGGAACTCTACAGTCTGCCGAAGAGAGGATACAGAGTGAATGCAATACAGTTTTACCAAACTGCAGAGAGATTGAATAGGGTAAATACTGCAGATACTGCAATGCTACAACTACAGGACAAGCAATGAAACCATTACTATGACAGTTTGAAACATAAAACAAAGCTCATCTTCTCAGAGCAGTTAGTACACTTCTAGAACTTGCTGTCATAGGCAAGCTGCAGAGCCAAGGTACCAAAAATTTCAAAATGGGATTAAACAAATTCAGGGCTTCAAAAATGGATATAAAAGAATAGGATATAAAAACCCTCATACAATGGTTCTAGTTTCTGGGAGGCTACAAGGGGAAAGGATCACAAAGAATATCCAGGCTTGTGCAATTACCATTGCCACTGTTGAGGGCAATATACTGGGCCAAGCAGTCCATCACTCTAATGAAACAGGGCATTTCTTACGTTTTTATCATGCTCCACTTGCTGAATAAATGACAAATGATAGACGACTCTAGCTGGAAGCAAAAATATTCAAGACTATAGGCTACAGGAAAAATTTTAAAAGAAAACAAAGATTCATACTACATTTTCTGGAGTAGTACTTTGTGAAGTAATTTCTTTTGGCAAGAATCAAGGAGAAGAAAGAATTAGTACCGGTTCTTTGGGTTACTAGTTCACAAGTTAGTTGCTTATATCACACAAGTGGAATAGCACTAGAACACAAAACAAACAAAGTTATATCTGTGGGAAAATTGTAAGGGGAAGGCTTCCTGGGATGTTAAACATCAGATTTTGCTATTCTTTCTAATTATTCTTCATTTTGGTAAAGTCAATTAAACATGCATTTTTGTTATTCTGTTAAATTCCTAAATTTTCACACTGAGCTGTAGTTTTCAACAGGGAACCACAGAATGAGAATTTCTGTGGATGAACAAGTAAGCCATGTGAAGACAGTTATCCTATGGAAAGCAGTCATTAGGTGGTGAACTCGGCAGTCTTAACTGCAGACCTTGGAGCGTTAGCATCTCTTGGCAACATTTTCAAACTGCTTCTAAAACAGCCTGTGTCTTACTCATCAACACACAATTCCAGCTTAGCATTACAGAATTCTTGAAATAAGTAGAACTGATGTTGAGAAGCTGGAGAAAGAAAGAAGTGAATATAAGGTATAAGAAATCTCAGATCTTACTAAGGTAACAACAGAACTGACAACTTTAGAAAGAAGCACAACTCCATTCCTGGTAGCAAATGCACTGTGCATAACTTAGTGCTGGACTCTCATGAAATCACAAAGTCTTTTTTAAAATGGTATGTGGAAAAATGTGAAGGAGTAATTGAAATCACAGTCATCAAGTATGGCTTATGTTATTTTGTAATTCTTTTGTATTTGGAACTGCATTTGAACTGCATTTTGTATTTGGAACTGTTAAGCTCAATGAAATGATTATCAAGTGTAACTTCAGCAGCTCTCTGGATAAAAGTGCTTCAACCCAGAATCTCTATTACTTTTTATTATTTTCAGAAAACCTCAGTAAAGCTAGTTTCAAGAGAAAATACAGAAAGCACAGAGTTACAAGATGAGTTTCTGTGGAATGCACATCTCAAAACAACACGGAATAAAAGCTTTCTCTTCCTTTGGTCTCCCTCTCATTATGGATAGCATTTCTTGCTGACATGAGTGTGTGCAGACAAGGCAATACAACAATAACAGCAATGATGAACAGAAAATCTACAGTATCGGTAATGTGAACAATACAGAAGTCTTCTGCGGAGTGATATAAAACTAACACCAGAAGAGGTGATGCTGTTCCTACTTACTCCACTAAATCGAAGAGCTTCTTGGGTTCAGCTGGGGGTGGGTAGATGATTTCATCTATGCATTTCCGGACACAGTTTGCATAGGCGGTGGAGATGTGTATGAAAGCCTCCAGCTTCTGCATCTGCCGGGCCAGCTCTAGAAGTCTCTGAGTGCCCATTGCATTCAGTTGCAGGGCATGTCTAAAGAGATCAGGGGAAAGAAATAAAATGCATTTCATTGGAAAGAATATATCAAAGCTAAGCAGTACCCAAAACCACTTTCCTGGCAAATAAGGAAAAGGCAAGTAAAGGAAATGAAGGGGTCACAGCAGAACAGTAAGCTTCAGAGAAATGCAATGGTTAAGACAAGTTTCAGTGCAGTGCTATTGGATCCACTGTTCTGTCCACAGAATGCAACTCAAATACTTTTCCAGTTCAAAGAATCAGAGGTAACTGTTGTGGTTTAACCCAGCTGACAGCTAAGCACCATACAGCCATTCGCTCACCCTCTACCCTCTCTCTCTGGGACTGGGTAGAGAAACAGGAAAATGATGCCTGTGAGTTGAGATAGAGACAGTTTATTAGGAGAGAAAAGAAAAAAAATAATCATAATAGTACTACTAATAATAATGTGTACAAAACAAGTGATGCACAATGCAATTGCTCACCACCTGCTGACTGATGCCCAGCCTATCCCTGAGCAGCTGGTCCCAACTCCCCGGCCAGCCACCCCTATATATTGTTTAGCATGATGTCAGATGGTATGGAATACCCCTTTGACCAGTTTGGGTCAGCTGTCCTGGGTCTGTCCCCTCCCAGCTCCTGCTGCAACCCCAGCCTGCCCGCTGGCAGAATAGAGTGAGAAGCTGAAACGTCCTTGGCTTAGTGTAAGCACTGCTTTGCAACAATTAAAACATCAGCGTGTTATCAACATTACTCTCATCCTAAATCCAAAACATAGCACCCTACCAGCTACTAGGAGGAAAAATAACTCTATCCTAGCTGAAACCAGGACAGTAACATTTCACTAAAATCTCTAAATCTGACATACTTTGCCATCCTCTCCTGGAACAAACAATTCCAACACACATGGCCACTTAGGCATTATGGCTCCTGTAGGCCCCATTCACTTTTTCATTATGGGACCACTGCTAAACCAGATAAACACAAGGTTTCAGTAAAGGGTTTTTGGGCCCAGAAAAGCAGATCAATACTGAAAGAAGCCACAACAAGAGATAATAACTTAAATTACCAAGGAACAAAAAAAAAGGATTGATAAGAAGAGGAGAAAAAGACTCATGGTTAGCAAGGTTGATCATGAAGAAGAGGAGAAAAAGACTCCTGGTTAGCAAGATTGATCATGAAGCACCCACAATAGCTAGAAGTTATCCTAGGGATTATCTGCAGTGGATCTCAGTGAACAGATGCTCAACTTTGTCACACACTTTGTACTAGAATAAAGACACTTTCAAGTGGCGAAGGGAAAAGGCTAAGGAATATGCAATCTGTTCAGCCCAGAAGAAACTTTCAACAACATGTACAAGACTATGAATAATGTTATCCAGTACAGTGTACACTAAAGAAATTAATTACACCAACACTGAAGAGAAATTGTAAATAGTCCAGATGAATGAAAGCAGAAGCTAAGAGTATGATTAATGATTAATACTTACTTTTTATTTATTTATTTATTTATTAAAGAATAGCATTTTCTATAGATCTATACTTTAGCTTCCTTTCATATGAAAGTTACTTTTCTTTCTCTGCAGTACATCTCTATTGCATTGTATCCTGTCTGAGATGGGGTGAACACAATTGCATTCAGTATACAGGCTCAGCATTGAGTTCCTTTAGCTTTCTAGGGGAATACTCTCTAACTCTGATGATTTGTTGCTCTTCGCTTTTTCTATTTATATTGAAGCTGCATCTACTAATATTTCGCTATAACACTGTTTCTCAGATTTCTGCCCTCAAGAATTCCATCTGGAGAATTCCCTTAATGTATTGCCTGTTGATGCCAACAATTCATTTAGTTTATTTGATACTGCTTTTTTAGTATCCTCATAGCACTGCTTTTGTACTCATTTACCTATCATCTCTATGTATTCTGTGGTAGGCTTTGATTTCTCATGTGTTTAAAAAATATATAGATTTTTTGTGTTAGAAAGTTGCGGCTCAAAACTTCTTTGAGCTGCAGTAATATTCTTTCACATGTAACTTTCTAGAAATATTTTTTCTCATTCAGACAAGAATCATTTAATTCTAACAAGTTCACATATTTTGTCATTTAATCATAGTGGATTTTCCTTGTTCTCATAGAGAGATTTTGATGGATCATATGCAATCAGCATTTAGACAGCTTCTACACTGCCCACAAGCAAAGGACCATTTAAACTTTTTCTTTTAATTTCCTTCTAGCTATCTCTCTTATTAAAAAATGTACTTACCCTTTGATGTTATACATATATGTCACTGTGGTGTATTTTTATAGGACATTCATTACTGTATCAATTTAAGAACATTTATGGATATTAATGCAGTGCAGTGCTTTGCTAGTTATAACTTGAGCCAGGTTCTATTAATGGAGCTGCTTACTTTCTGGTGGGTTCTCTAGTAACTTATTGCAAAAAGTAATTATGATGGACACCGTGGACACTGTTTACATGTAGCCTGCAAAGGAGCCAACGAAGAGCAAACATCAATAACTGTACTTTCTATTCTCACAGCTCTAGTGTTTTTCATAAAACTGGGAAGATTTGGTCATTCAGATCATCCACCTCAGCTTGTTGATCTTTATATTTTGCACAGAAACATGCACATCTCATCTTGATTTAGTTGCTTAATTCTGTTACTCTGTTTTAATGGAAAGCCTGCCTTGACAGGGTCTCCCAAAGGAGTTCCTTCAGAAATTGAAGCATTTATTTTAAACAGTAAATTACACTGAATATTGGATATCTTAAAGCTTGTGAAAGGCTATTTTGTTAAACAACATCTCATTTCCCCCTTCAGTTGCTCGTTGACAAAGAAAGGCCATTAAGCCTAACTTTAGAGATAGACTTAACGTAATCTCACTTCAAGCTGTCTCCAGATAGTTCTGCCAAAACATGTCCCACTTGATCTAAAATACTATCCCAATTCTAAGTCATACTTTTCTCTCTTACTATTTTACAACCTAAGCATGCAGTATTTCCTTATGTTTCCATGGAAATCTGCCAAGTTCACTTTTGATATGCATAAACACATGACATTTTCAGAGCATTTACATTGCACATTCAGAGAAGAGCTACATTTCATGAAAATGTAAATGAAGAATTATTACTGCAGGTATGCAAGAGATGCACTGAATACTGTAATATGGATCATTATGCATTCTGAATCATGTTTAGCAAATAGAGAAAGCAGAACATACTTCAAGGGTTCATCAAAGCGTACTGTTGCTGCACAGTGGAAGACAATATTGACTCGAGTCAGAAGCTCCTCCTCATCTTCAGCACTGATGGCCAGCTTGGGCTGAGTGAGTTCAGCATTAATAGGCTTAATCTTCTCGTGGAAATTAGGGCAATCTTCTCGAACCCTGTCAAAGACCTTGAAGCACAAAGAAACAGACATAAAGAACAGAATTAGGCTACTGAAATCACTTTGATTAGTAGCTGGTCCGATTACATCAATCAATGAAATTAGCACAAAAGTGAATCCTTGTTTCTTTCAGAGATGACATAAAAGTGAGATTTAACTTGTTTCCTTCCAAGAAAAAAACTTTCATTGGAAACAGAACAAAAATACAGAAGGTAATGTATTGCCTCCAAAAGATCAATGAATCTTCTCTAGACAGCTCATTTCCTAGGGCATCCGCCAAAATTGCTGTATCTCCACATCTCCTGCAACCAGTTTTTATTTGACCTCAGGGGCTGCTTACAGGACCATAAAGGAAATTAAAGAGGAGGAAAGCAGAGTACAGATTGGGAAAGCCCATGAACCATTAGCTCTAGTAATTTTCTTGATTGTTCTACAAAGGACTTGAGGAGAGAAGACGAGTTAATGTTCATTCTGGCTCCCGCTCTTTCTTTACTGCCACTTTCTGCCTTTCATTCTTCGTTCATGTAAGATAAGTCTTATTTATGGGAAACTGCCTTCTGAATGGAAAGACGAGGAACTTCAAGAATGTATACTGCTGAAGTAACATGATTGGACAAACATGCAGCTGGTTGACCTCTTAAGCTATCTTGCAGACTTTTTTTTTTCTATGACTATGTTTTGTAGCCCTTTCAAATGCATGTTTTCTTCCCAGACTTCTGCAGAATGACAATAGTGTGCATCTAGTGACTAAAAAGGCCCCTATATTTCCATACGCTGTCTGTTGGATGACTTGTTCAAAAACATTTGACATCTTGCTTTGACTAAGACCCAAGAGAGCAGGTACCCTGAACAGCAAGACAGCTATGTGCAACCCTTCCGAAAGGAAAAGAAAATCAAAATTGTCATAATCTGAAAAAAAAAAATATATAAAAACAACACTTTCCTCAGGTCCCATTCCTAATTTGTAAAGTAATTACATTTTACTCATTACCTGATATTCAATGATAACAGGTCATATACCAGGTCTGGGTGCAGTTGTGCTTGTGACCTGAAGAAAGGCAGTTACTGCATGGTCCATCTAGAGACTTTTTATTTGGTAAATTACACAAGCAAAGGTGTGGAAGCCTGAATTTCAAAACACTATCATTGAATCACAGAATCCAAGGTTGGAAGGGACCTCTGAAGATTATCTAGTCCAACCCCCTGCAGAGCAGGATCGCTCAGAGCACATGTCACAGGATGGCATCCAGAAGGATTCTGAATGTCTCCAGAGAAGGAGACTCCACAACTTCTCTGGGCAACCTATTCCCATGCTCTGTCACCCTCACAGTAAAGAAGTGCCCCCTCATATTCAGGTGTAACTTCCTGTGCTTCAGTCTGTGCCCATTGCCTCTCATCTTGTCACTGGGCACAACTGAAAAGAGAATGGCTCCGTCCTCTTGACACGTTCCCTTCAGATATCCATATACCCTGATGAGCTCTCCCCTCAGTCTTCTCTTTTCTAGGCTAAACAGGCCCAGTTCTCTCAGCCTATCCTCATACGACAGGTGCTTCAGTCCTCTAAACATCTTTGTAGCCCTCCTTTGGACTTGCTCCAGTACTTCTATGTCCCTCTTGTACTGGGGAGCCCAAAACTGGACACAATAGTCCAGGTGTGAAATTGTTGCAGTAGGATATGATAAAATTATCTTGGGTATAATAGGGCAAAACTAGAAGTGTCTACTCTAAGGGTTTTGTATTGCCAGACAATATCATTGTATCTGGGCAACTTCAACTGAAATAATAGTAACAGGTACTTCATTTTGAGGGCAGAGTGGCAACAGCAAGGATAGAAAGAATAATTAGAATAGAGAGTCTGTGGGATCTCAAGTGGTATAAACTATATTTCAAAGGATAATCACATTTCAAAGTTAACTAGCTCACTGATGGGAATGACTAAGTACTGAGACATATCACTGGAATAAGGTGTGGGGCACTGCCTTTGGATGCATTTAAGAACTGTCTAGATTAACATTGTCAGGAAAAGCAGGGAATAGCTAAGCCTGCCTGAGGGCAGAAGGACTGACCGCCTGACTTCTCGGTAGCTCTAATTTTTTGGTTGTTTCCTCTGCTTTGTAGCCTACTCACCGGTAATGTTGAGCCTGTACATCTCTTTACTATTATGATCGTGTTTTCCTGGAGATTGCTTTATCTTTGATTTGCCTAGTGTTTATGTAAAAATGGGAAATTGAGCGTCACAGATTAAACATATTAGAAGAAAAAAAATATATAAAAGATTAAATTTTTACTAATAGCAACATTTTATTGTTTGACTACAGGAATATCATCTTTCTGCTTAGCTGAGAACCAAATTTAGATAAACCTCTATGTTCTTAGTGATAAAGAAAAATATCAGTCTTCCCCACTAGGCAGCATATACTGTGCACTTTGCCACATATTTTTCTTTAACACGTGGATGAATATGCTTCATTAACCTGAAACCTTAGCAAGTTAATGGAAGGTAGGTCATGATAATGTCATTTAATTTCTCTGAGTTGCATCCAACTAAATACATACTCCAGAAATGTAGTCTAGGCCAGACTACAGGTTTCTAGACAGGGGATGCTATTCACGGACAAAGATGTTGGTATGAACCAGATAGACTGTAGTAACTCAATTTCCAATGACTTATGTTCAGAACCAGGTCCTAGAAATATTTATGTCCTTAAAAACTTGTCTTCTAACAGAAGGATGCTAGAGTGGCTTTCCAAATATGAGTCATTGTTTGAGAGGTTACACATGAGTAAACTCTGACACAAAATGTAAAGGGTTCTCAGAGTACAATCTGAGAGTTACTTAAATGATAGTTATCGTTTAAGAATTTTAAGAACAATTTCTCATTTGTTTGTTCTATTGTAAAGAGAGTGTAAAACTGCACTAAGAAAGAGTTAGGATTATACTTGTTTTACTTTGGCATAAATAATGCAAAAGCAGAGAAAAAAATAAATCAGCTCTTTCTCCATTTCAGCCACGCTATATATAAATAGAAGAGTAGCATTTCTGCAGTGCCAACCTGCCTTGAATTCAGACAAATATATTCTGCCTACACCTCATCTCCTCCTGAATTTCCCACTGCAGATAATATCCCCTCTAGTTTCTGTGCCTACTGCTAAGTATTGCTTATTACTATGCATCCCTCCACAGCTGTAGCTTCTCACTCCCTCCCAATGATTCACTGTATTCCTCTGACGGAGTAGGGCAATTTTAAAATGCAAGCTCACAAAGCAACATGCTGCTTTGGAAAACTTCTGGATCACTAGAACATTCAGTTCGTCATCACTATTAATTCAGATAACAGGAACAGCTGTTAAATCAAGTCTGCTGCCTCTTTTATGGAATCTGACTATTTAAGTTTTGTCAGTGCTTTATGGGAACATGCAAGAAGATTTAAAGACAAAACAAATACAGCTTATTCTATTCTGCTTCCTGTACCTGAATGAATGGCTAACATAAAGATGATGCTGAGTCTATAATAACACAATAACGACAACTCTAAATTCTAATTAACTAATGGACATCATCTATGATAAATCCCCAATAACTTAAATCCCCAACAACTGCATGAGGACTTAGGATTGCTCTGTCTTTTCATTTTAGAAGCTGTCTGCCCATACAAAATAGATATGATGGATAGAAGTGGGCTGGTATGTTGTATTGTTGGAACTGCATAAAAACACTGACCCAATCAGCAATACTGCAGAAGTGATACATTAATTATCAAAAATTATATTGAGGAGAAAGGAAAATATGTTTGAATTTAAGTTGATCAACCATGCCCAGTGTTAAGTAAATGGAAGTAAATCAATAATAATGTATCCTGTTTTCGGTGTCTTCCATAGTATCCTAATGCATTCCAGTGGCAACACCGCTGCCTTGGCTAAATGGAAATAAATGAACCCAGCAGAATCCATTCTCACTTTAATCCTTATGAAAGGACTCAGCTTCTGCACAGAATTTGTGCTGCCCTCAACAGAGATGAGAATTTCACTCTGAAATTTGCTGATTTCTTCCTACTTTATAATTAGGTATTCCCACTTATAAAAGTAATCTGTGACTTCAGTTTACATTATCAACCCCTTATTATGGAAACAGGACTTCTAGAATTTATCCCAACATAATATTTCAACATGTTTGAGGGGCATCTCTTTCCTGTTCCTCCCCACTTAAGGTTTCACATCTGTAACTCTCTGTTCTCTGTTTTTGCCTTAAAGCATGTAATCGTTCAGAGAGATTTCTCTCCATCAATCTTTCAATCAGATATTTTTTTTATACATCTCAAAGATGTAAAAACCTCCAAGAAAGAGCAAATTGCACATCTATGGAATGGCACGGATGAAAGATACAGGAATCACTGAACAATGTAAAATGCCAAAGGCTTCGTTTCTTGCTCAGGAGACATTTTCAGTGAAGCAATGACAAAATAATTAAAAGCTGAGTGCCTAAACCATGATCTACTTCAAAAAAGAACTTACATGAGTTTGGTAAAAACAGTGTATTATTACTGCTTTTTAAAGAAGCCTGCGTAGTCCTTCCTTTTTGGGGCATACCAGTCTTCAGCACTGAAAGACCAACTTACCGTAGCAGGCACTATGCAGGATGGCACTTCACTGTGTAACTCAGACAGAAAGCAGTATTCCTATTTGCTTGGTCATGCAATTATTATTAATATATTATTATTAATACAATTATTTCTTGCCCTCTCTCGTGATGTGAAGGATGCATCTTCCAAAGCGCTGTATAAACATCATATGCCCCAGCAATGCAAACTGTGGTGAAGGCCAGCTACTATTCTATGTCCAGCTGCTGTAACAGCAAGCACAGCTTTTCCTCTGCAAGAGACTCCTTACCCTGAACGCTCCTGTTGACATTAACAACTCTTTCAGGGAGCATATTTACAACCAAGTTTGTGCTTGCTCCCTTTGCTGGATCAGGACCAGTCTGGTGACTGACCCAGAAAGCATAAAGTTTTA